TTTGACTTTTAATGTAGTTTCTGAAAACCTTAACTCCTCACTTCACAGAAGAGGCGTAGTTTTCCCACTAAAATTTCACTTATTCTCAAATCATATTTATCTATGACATCGTTTTAATTATCTCTAAAACTGTTCTTCATAAAACTATTTAAGTTGACATAACGTATTTCATCGTTATTTTTTTCGCGGCACCCAAGATCGTTACTCTTTTCGAGCCAATTTCCAGCCACGAACAACTTTTTTGGATTTTTGTTGTCATAAATTCGATTTTTACAAAAAGTACACTAAGTTTACCATGGATGAATTTGCCCTCGCACAAAAATGCAGTCTCTTTGGAGTAAAACCTTAAGAAAAGTTTTTTATTTGAAAGCCATTTGGGGATCTTCTGGTTCAAGGTATCTTAACGGCACATATGGCAGCAGTTATTGAACGTTAAACAGAAGTCTGTTCTTGACACCGCTCCGCAGTGTATGACGTCAATCAAAATCATAAAATACATGTGATACTGGAGCTGAAGCTTTATTAAGGCTACCTGGTAGAATTAATTCCAAAACACTGTCATGATAAACATGGGATGTTGGGAAAGTAAACAAACTTCGATTAGGTTTTTCCATGGCCAACAAGATAACCCCGAGGATAATTCACTGGTAAACACAGCAAAACACGTTTCTTATTTGAAGCAATAGCGTATGTTGTTTCAAGGGGAATTAATGTAAGGGCACTGGAACAATATGGCAGCAAATGCTTAGCTTACAACTGAATCATCATAGGATCTTAAAACATCAATATCATCAAAATATACGTTAAGAAGACACTGTGTTAAGGCTCAGATTATCGAAGCAATTGAAGCAGAATTTCATACACGTTTTATAAATCCAAGAATATATAAAATTCTATGTACATAAGAAGATAATTTTGAAGGCATTTGTTTTTATCAACAAATTATAATAGAAAGAGCTTGAATCTAGTAATACTTTGCTTGCAAGACATTTTATTTCTCGATAACAAAGTTTAGTAACAACTGGCTTTATTCTAAGTTCAAATAAAATGCGTAAACTAGTCGAGTAATCAAATGTTCGTAATCAAATACTATCTGCAGGATACTTCATACCAGTTAAAGAATATAAGGGGGAGGGGGATGAGGGATGGGGGAAAAACAACGAAAATGTTATTGGCTTTCATTGATGGTATATACTGTATATACATATATGAAAAATATTGTTAGAAATATGCATCAATGTCAGATTAACATAAAGAATTTCAAAATTTTAAGTTCTATTTGATAATTTGTTTTCCGCGGATCCGAATAAACCATGTCGGGAGAATCTGGGAAAATGAACACTAACAAGAGTTACTTAATGGTTAACAAAAATTTTAAATGTGAGTATCTTGAGGCCAGTAAAGGAATCGTCATTTTTACAGAAAAGACGTTTTCACAGTGTTTCTCGAGAAAATAATCGATTAAGGTGGTTAGGGTGCTGCACTAGATTGTATTTCTTTCAGCACCCTTGACTGCGTCATGTAGCAGTGCAGTTGATATCACTGGTGTAATGCCATGGTTACAGTATTTCCTGATAACTCGAAATCTCGATTGATCAAATTTTCATTAACTGATTTTGCATTCCCCGATAACTCGAATGATCGTTAACTCGAACCATTTTGATTGCTCCCTTAGACGAGCAAGCCTCAAGAATTGTACTGTACAATCTTCACTAGACAATGAAACATAGATGAAACTGTACAAAGCTTTACAGTAGAAATCCTTGCGAGAATTTCTTAAAATATCCATAGGATAACTGCAGCACATTTAGACGATTTACAGAATTTTATTCACGTGTGTACAATGAAGACCGTGCATATTGCAAAAAGAGCTTGATCCTGAAAACTAACAGTGACAAGGTTGTCATTTTCAGGGTCCCATAAACATTGACATGAAATTTCGACTGCTTGACCTCTCTGCTCACCCATATGAACAGTTGCAACAACTCTGACTTCAGAATCAAGCATACTTCTCACCGCAGCCTCTATTCTCTGACTGACGAGGGCACACTGCTCCATCGCAACGTCAGCATCGTAATGGCCGTTCAAGAACTCAGTCACCAAAACATCGGAGATGATATTCTTGACAGCCTCTTTCTCTGTTTTTAGACCCGAAGCAAGAGACAGGTTTCTGGGCGAGTTGCAATTGTAATCATTGCTGTCATCCAATATACTTTCTTGGCTATACGATTTCAGTGTAGCTTTTTCTGTGCTGACTTCCTCTACCAAAAACTGGCCCAAGTCAGGCTCAGAATCTCTGCCATGCCACGTCCAAGATCTTGGCCTTCCCACGGGCGACACTTGCAGATTTTCGCATCCTGCTACTTTATACAGTCGGTTAATTGACGAAGCTTGGAGCTGACTCACACTTCGAGGGCGTTTTAGTGTTTTAAATTGCTTTAAATCGTTGATTACGATCTCCGATTGAGAGCGCTGATGCCTAAGTTTCGGACAGAACTCCATTTCCACGCCAGAAAAAATGATATACTGGCAGACAAGCTCATACAAAAAATCTGCTTTCTAGGCGACGCACGACAAGAAAACCATTGGATGTTGCATTATAACTTGAAAACAACTGTGTCTGCACGGGTAGATCGCTCGTTGCTACATATCCGCCTAGCAGTTCCATTGTTTTTCTTATTTTGAAAGGCAATAAAGAATAGAAATTCCCATATGAATATATCACTAAGGTTCTTAGCAGCTGCATGGCATGAGAGAGTGTGGAGACAAAGACAATAACACATTTTGGTTTAATCGTTTCATTTTGGGAAATCTCTTCGCATGTAACATAGCATTTGTCGAATATCATAACTGCTTCAGGCATAATTAAGATTCAAATGTCGTAATCAAAGTGTCTCGTAATGTTCTAGAGGGCAGAACTAACACGAGAGGGCAATATGAAGACTATTAAGGAGTGAAAGGAACTACATTATTTTTCTTATAAGAACCAATAAATTTGAGTTCAGGTTCTGAGGCTGGATTGTTCTCAATTTGTTCTTAATCTAACAAGGTGTAAGCAGTACGAGTGCTGGCTTTTCGTTCTGGGGAGGTTTTCAGGCCTCTTTTGCCAACAAAGTGAGTGAGACAACCTTCATTTGCCGCCATGCTTGAATATTCACCGATAAAGCACCCACACATAGCTAAAAATCCTCGATTTTGAGAAAAAACGTTGTTCAAAATTACATTTTACAGTAGCTTAGCCCCAGCTTGTTCTTAACTTGTTCTTAACTTTTGATCAATTTTGAGGCTCGTGTTCTTATAAAGTTGTTCTTGAAACAAAAAGAATGTGAGCACTACTGTTGATGTAAGATTTGCCAGCAGTGTAAGTTCCATGTTTGATTTCAATGTGAATATCCAACGTCAAAGTTAAAAAACGAGATGTTTTGATGTCGCATTCTAAACAAATGTCGATAACTGTAATAATTGCTTGAAAGATTTGGCATTTCAAAGTAACCATCAGCATTGACAAACGCAGGTATTAAATAAGAAAGCTGCACAAATTAGAAAAGGGGGCATCGTAACTATTACTAAGAAGGTATTTGCTATAAGCGTTGCCATCCTTTTCATTCTGCGTGTACACCAGAAGATTGCTAGTTTCAAATATTTATGGTGTGGGCACCCTGGATCAATCCAGTTTAAAGTAGTTTTTGAAGTGTGAACAGTTGTCTTGAGAAGAATGCTGAGATACATGCAAATACTTACAGGTGATAAAAGGGACTAGGAGCGTACATGGTGCTTTTTGGCATTTCTAGTGGCTTTAGTTATATATAAGCTGCTCTGCTTAGAATTAAAACAATGCGAGTGCCAAAAAATCATACACGGAAGAGTAACAATAGTGTCTTGGATGTACTCAACTAAAATAGAGAGATTTGATACCAGCTGTTCATAGAGAGATTCGCTACCAGTGTGCCAAAACTATTAATAAGAATTTCCCTGCCATAAAGGCATTAAAGGAATACATAAATTCAACTTACTTCAAATTTTGGAAATTACTTCAAACTTCATTATACGACTTTTTTTAAGTTCATATTTAGTTTTATCGCCGTAATTTTAGGCCGGATACAATTGTTCATATTGGTTGTGTGTATATATTAGATTTTACGGAGAAATAAAGTTTGAAAACTTGTAAGGGATTTGACTGCAAAAATTGTTCCGGGTGAAGCTTTACCAATCATGGTCAAAATCTTTATGAACTTTTTATGTTTAAGTCGTAATAAAATCAATATCGTGAGTCAAAACTCAATGAAAACTTGCAAGTAGACTAAAACTTTTGCTCTTAATCCGAATTTTTGGTCAAAAATTTTGTACAAAAAAATTGTAAAAAATTTTAACAAAACGAGGCTGTAAGTTGAATTGGTGTATATGACTGCTAAAATCATGTCCTTGTAACCCGAAGGGAATATCACTCGATCAAATCACCTACATCATCAATCGAAATCTTATTGTTTTATCTGAAAATCACTGGAAATCCCCTTGTTCTCGGGGAAATCTCGTGAACTCTTAGTAAAGTGAATTGCAAAGCGCTCAAACCAACATTTTTCTGTCTGCGCAATCGCAACTTTGGTACTAAAAATCATATCATACACTCAACCACTATAACATAATCTTTCATAACCAACATGGAACAAATCCGCTCAAGAGGCAGCATCCATGCAGCAATAGCGCTACTGAAATAACTTGAATTTCGTCATACCGTTTTTCATGATCTAGTATTTTAAGAGTAGTGGCTTTTAGAGTAGATGTGTAAGATATTTTGTGTTGCTGTCTTGAGATTCTTACAATGCAATTTATTTACTTTCATTCTAACAATAAAGCTTGGTAATGAGACATTATTTTGCCAAAATGTGAATGCAAGAGATATATAAAGCATAGATAACAAAAACCTTGCAGTAATTAAAAGTAGGTTAAAGAATGTGAAGTAGGCTAAACATAATAGTACCTTTAATTTGGTTCAAAATTGTGTTGGTTCATGTGTCTCTCACCGAAAGGAAAGTCGTGTTTGTCCGTCTCTTGAGCTTGGATCCTTTTCGAACGTGAGACGTCGTTTTTTCGAAGGAGCAAGACGCACCGTTGATGGAGTACCTGTCCAAAATTGGCGAGAATAAATATAAGTACATTCGTTATTTCAAAATTTAATTATATAATCATCAAATTGGTCATATACTTCCACGTCAACTGTTAAAACCAGTAGAGTACCTAAACCTTTCAAAACCTTGTTTCAAGCTAATGAAAAGTAAAATTTACTGAAGAAGACATATATAAAGACAATATGTTCCTAATTTTCAATCGCCAGATGATTTTATTGACTAACTGAATATTTTCCGATCCATCGATAACTGAAAATTGAACATTACTGAACAAAAAATGATCCATTGACTACTGATTGATTTTAAAGGAACTACTGATTGAATGTCTCTCACCAAAACTAGTTTTCCATGAATCTCTATATCCCTCACAATTATCTTCTTGCCATTTCTATAATTAAAATAAGCAGCTGCAAGAACTAAGTATGGTGTAAAAAAGAAAGCGTTAAAAAATGATCTAAGAGGGAATGAGGAAACATTGATGTGACTAAAAAAGGGCAAAAGGTCTTGAAAATGAAGAAAATTGCTAAATTTGCTCAAGGACAAAGGGGCCACTGCCTTAACTGTAGCTGCCATGCAGGTGTCCCTGGTCATAAGATAGGCTGCCTGCTCGAACCTTAACACAAATCTCACAAAATCCAAACAGATCTAGGTCCTAAATTCCCCCAAATGGCTTTTGGCTTTTCCTGGAGGGATTTTATAATAATTAGATTCTTTACCTTTTTTCTGAAAAAGCTATGGTAGTTTAATGAATAATTTGTGAAAATTGTAGAAGTCATCCGAGGGCAGGATCTTTTGGAAAAAAGAAATTTATTATTATCTAAATTTTGACTAGAGCTGTCGAAAATGTGTTTTATCGTAACTTTGCATGTTTTATAAGCAACCAATATTTAAAAAAATGTAATTATCGATTTTGCAGGCTTTTTATATTCAGTGCAAAAAGATGTCAAATAAACATTGCTTGTTTCACGGAAAACTCACACAGGGGCCATATATCGAACACAAGAACGCTTTAGACAAGTACTTTACAAGAAAAGTGTGGTTCATTCCAACCTTAGGCGCGTCAATTTTTATTAGGTCACTTTCAACAATTTAGAATTTGGTAAACAAAACTATAAAAGAATGAGTCTCTAGGAAAAATGGCTTTTAATGATTCAATCTGATCGATTGTAATTTGCTGAAATTGTTAGGCCTTGTTACTCCAGACTTTGTGGTTCTAGACATCGCAGTTCAAGTCTTAAAATAACCCAGACCCATGTAATTAAATTTATCACTTTGATTTTTTTAAAAAAGAGCTGATCTTTGCAGCAGCCAGGTTCGCTTGCATACTTGCAGTTTTTCCTCTGCCTTTTTCTTCAAACAGATTACATTATCGTTATATCGCAGTGTGCAGACATTTTCAATTATCACAAAGCCATAAGGAACCCATTCATTTTTGAATGAATCTTCATGCAATAAAGATACCCTCGCTGCATGCCAATATAGATCTTTGATTTGTCTAGCAGCTGTCCGAGTCATATCAACATTAGCAGCCTCAGCAGTATGCTGAGTCTCTTTGAAACCATCAAGGGTAGTTTTTGTATTGCCTGACAATCAGAGCTGATCTATGATGCAACAATAAAGTTGCAGGATTACCTGCTAGATTTTGGAGACTGTTACGCTCCTCTCCCCGACCTCCTACGGAAAGGCTGGAAAAATCCCAAAAATTTTCTTAAAAGGCTGGGATTATTTTAAAAGCTTGGGCTGAAATAGTTTCGCAAAGCTTGAAAAGTGAAAAAAATATTGCTCTCGATGAAAGGTGAAATTTTTGGAGATTTTATCGGCCGTGGACGTCAAGCAATTCAAGACCGAGGGGCATATCACTCTAAGAAAATCTTGTACACCTTTTGTTAAAATCCTATTGTTTTATCTGAAAATCCCCAGAAATCCTTTTGTTTTAGGCAAAATCTCGTACGTTATTTGCAAGAGTGAATCGCCCCTCGTTCAAAACCATGCACTTTTGTAGGAAAATCTCAAAGGACGACCAAGTACACAATACGCTGAAAAACTCAAAAAATTTGGGACGATAATACCCACTTTTCTAAAATTTAGTTTCTCCTGCAGACAATGGTATTTCTGACAAATACTATTGTTTACATACATTGGCGCAATAAGACTAGGGTTATCATCTTTTTAGTTAATGGTCCTTTTTGGTGTTGCAGAACACTTTTTCAAGCTTCTAATTATAAAGCAAAAGTTGGCACAGGAAAATCCAAATAGATCCGAGAGACGTCACATGTTGTTTATCTTAGCTGTATTGATGGCGATGAAAAACAACATGCCCCTACATGCACAGGAACTTTTGTTTTCAGTTTGCTGAATTTGACTGGATTTGCTTTAGGAAATTGGACGAAAGGAAAAAGTTTCACCTATTTAATTATGGTAATGCAATACCAGCATGCCAATAAGATAATTATTAGCGTAACGTGCATCTAGATCCACAGAGCCGTAGACCAAAATAACTTTGGAGCAGGGGCGGAGTGGTATGACATTCCATTGAAATTTGCCAGTATCCAGGTTGGTCAGTCCATCACTTATTTGAAGCAAAGTAATAAAAATACCTGTAGGTAAAGAGGTAATATTTTTCATCAAATAGAGGGTCTTGGAATTTTTTTTGATAGGAAAATGATATGTGCAGCCGATTGTATCCATAAAGGCTAGTGGATACTCTTATCTTCAAAGATGGACTGGGCGTGGTTTGGCTCAATTCATTTTGTTGCACTCGAAGATGGACTGAGTTCAGGGGCGTCGCCAAAGGGGAGGTCAGGGGCGTCGCCAAAACAGTTTGGCTCGAGCCCCTTAAAATACAATAGTAGGTGCGGCTCTAAGTAAAGGGTTGCATTCAAAGACCCAATAAACAGGCCAGTTGGGGCTGTGATAATTGTTCATTATAGCATACTTTTTTCATAAATAAATTTACTTAGTGTAACACAAGTTTTTAGTTATGACTTTTTTGCCAGGCTAGTTAATTTTTGCTAGTTTGGAGGCTTCTTTCTATTCGATGTTTTATGTTTCCCATAGGCTTGATTTTATTTTTGACTGCCCCGCTATCTAACTAAGCATGTCAGATTTCACCAGAAAACAACAAAGTTTCAGTTTTACAACTTGCGATAGCAAATAGTGTACTAGGTATAAATGCCTCAGTCTGAATAAAGCCTTTGGTGAAGTTTAAAATTAGGTCTACACTTCATTTTATCTTGCACTTCAGATTATGCCAGGAGAAAATTTCAGTCGTATAACTTGCACCGTTTCAAAGATATAGTACAAGACACAATATAGGTCTGGGTACAAGTACTGTAATCGAAAAAATTGCTTTTATGGATTTTTTTAAGGTGTTTTTGCATCTCCTTTTTTCAGCACGTCAATTAACGCAAGAAAAAAGTTTCAGTTTTATTACTTGCGAATTAAAACATCGTAGTGCTATGCCTAAGAAAGGACTGGGTACCAGTACCACAATCGAAAAATAGCTTTTAGGGACATTTTTTAGGCTCGCTATGGATTTTATCTTATTCGGTTGAAGCTGTGCTTGGATTATCATACCGGATTGTGTACTTATACCAAACTTCATGCTGTTATCATAACATGCACAGTTCTACTGCGATGCGTCTGTACTAGCAAGAAACTTCAGAAAGCAAGTTGTTCGACAAAACGAAACGTTTCAACAGCCATAACTTTTTGCTAATAGGTCAGATCACATTGCTCCATCTACATATTTTGCTCAGTTTTGCAAGCTCTTTCTTATGGTATCATCAGATTTGAAAATTCGAAAGTCGAAATTCAACAATTTGGAAAACTTTATGGCCACGCCCTAGTTTTGTGCACCAATCCCGAACGTCAAGATATTGGTTTTTGTTGTCAGCATGTCGAATTTTATCAAAATTAAGACCATTTAGACCTTTTGGCCTCTGACTGTTGAAATCTTGGACGTCGGAGGCCGGCCTTTCAAAGATGTTTGTCCAAGCAGCTGACTGAAGAATGATAGGACACTTTTCTGCAATGAAGGTTTTAATCACTTTTCTGTAAGGAAGTGATGAAAAACTAAGGTCAGCAAAAATTTGCGAAGATAAGCTTGCAAATGCGGCAGGTTTGAAGTTTACCTTTCGTCGTTTTCCGTTTCCAGACAATTGGCTTTCAACTCTGTTCGTCCTTACAGAAGCGCTGTTTGAGTTTGGGGCTGAGACTCTCCATTTTGGAAAAGAGTGGCCAAGATCAGTTTGTGATTCAAAATTGTACCTTAAAGAGATGGGAACCTTAATTTTAAACAAAATTAATTTATCATTAAAATATAAAAGAGATGCTCTTTATCAATGTCATAAAGGGAAGTTAAAATATCTAAACAGGCTTGTTTTTGTGTCCTTTGCTTCACGTTGGTAATACAAATTAAAGAAAGAAAATTCATTGAATTTGAAATGCTAATACATTCAAATCCTTAATCTGAAGAAGTAGTCATGGCTAAAAATCTAAAACTATATTGAATATAGAATATAGATGTAACATGATGTGGAACAAAAAACTACTTATATGTAACCCAGGTGTTGAATGTAGGGAGTGCACAATCTGCAAGTGCATGCTGAAATTTGAATTTTGTCTATATTGCTTTTGAGAATATTTGTGAAGCTTACTTTGGAATCTTTTTGCGTAGAACGCTGTTCCAAATCTACCTACACTTAAGAACACTTACGTATTATTGTATCTAAGCCATGTATTACTGTATTTGGTAGAAAATCTTAATATGTCTCTTGCAAAGCACAGATTCTCCTTTTTTAGTGTTTTGAACATTTCGATTACAAACTTTTGTATAATCTTGTGATATTCTGCAGTTGCATCTTAGCTACTTACTGTACCAGTGCATTATAGATCTGTATTCTTGCTGCTTTCTCGTTGAAGTTTGTTTAACCTACCATTTAATAACTTTAAATCTTCTCCTTTTTTGTGATGATAAAACTCATAGACGGGTGATAGCCTTCATTTCAGCCAACACTTTACTTTAGACAGCAAAAAGCTTCAGTAGGCAACTTAATTAATATTTTCCTATTCTCAAGAATTAAAAAGAGAAATTTACTTTTCTGCAATTTATGTTATCGAGAAATTCCTGTTTTCGGAATATCATACAGTCAATCCAATTAAATAAATTTTTAGAGGACAATTCCGCAATGCCTGCCTGGTCTGAGTCTTTAGCAAAATATCATTCTTCTAAAAAACATCCAATAAATGGTGAAAACCATTTTTTGTACAAAATGTAAGAAATTTCAAGCAATTTACCTCGAAACTGTTGGTTTTCTGCTGTCTTTATTTTGACCAAAGTACTTGTGCGAGTCCATTGCATCATATTCTTCGTCCTCAAAACAAGACATTGTTTTTTGCCTTCTTGGTTGTCCCACTGGATTATGCCAATAATCGGTTGCTTTTTGTTTAGCTTCATAAGCCATCTCTTGATTAACAAACTCGGGACGCGAAGCTGTGTATTGAGGGATTGTTGTCCATTTACTCGTATTATATTCTATTTGTGGATTGGCATAAGCAGCCTTATCGATATTCACATCCAGAGCAGATTCGTCTTTTCGAACCTGCCTTTGCAATTTATGTTGTCCCTGGTTTTCTATGTGATCGTGGTAGTAAATATTTGGTTCAAATGTCTGCTCGAGGTCATCAGCACTACACACCACCTCTTGTGGGCATGAGTTATGATATTCAATAGAAAGACTTTTCTCGCGGGTGCGTTTACAATTAGATGTTCCCTGCGCTGAAGAACCTTCATCGTGGTCCTTTTCAAACCATCCTGTTTGGCTCTCACACACAGGCCCAGGAAGGTTGTCAGGAATCGATAGGCAATCATTTGTGTCTCCAAAAATGTTTTGATTTAACGATGAATGAAATGCCTGATAAATTCAATAAAATCTTTAAAAATGAATTATGAAAGCATCCTGATAAAGGGTTGTGTTATATTTATTTTCTACTTGTATTCATTTTCCTAGGTATGAGGATAATAGTTTTTATAGCTATGGAAGTAGTCTATAGAGAATGCAATAGTTCTCTTCGAAATTACGATTTTGTCTCCACTTGATAAAACAAACAATTTCTTATAGCAAAGTTAGAGGAAGGGTAGGTAAAGAATGAGTCGACAGAAAAAGAAGATTGCAAAAAATAAAACCGCAAACCTCGATTATTCTCTCAGGTATCCATTTTAATGACTTTTTCATTTCTGATATTGTAAAGCTAAGTAAAGTTTTCAGCGGTGTAGCAGTGAGAGCAATTTGGGCCCTAGAGGAGATCAGCAACAATTTTGAATTTGATAAATACCCTGCAGCTGGTGTATAATCACTGGATTCTAAGTTACACCACTAACATAAAATTTTGAAATTTAAATAAATCCAGTTAAGCTACTAATATTTGATGCTTAAAAGGGTTTTCGGGGTTTAGTTGTAGCTAACTCTTTAAAAAGGTAAACAGTTGCTTTATAACAATAAAAAACCTTGGCATAAATATTGAAAGTAAGTCAAAATCGACTGAAGATTATGCTTGATCAGATGAAACTGGCACCATAACAACAGTGCTATATTTCTTCATTTGAATCATTTTTACAGGTATCAAAAATAGCATAATATAAACAGTGAAGCACAAATACTTACGTAAAGGAGGTGAACATCGGAAAAGAAAGCAAGAATCTTTCGTGCTGCGGGGAAAAATAGAGCTTTTTTATCAAGAGAAAAGTTGAAGTCTCAAGGCAGTAACGAAGGAATAACTGAATGTCAAATTGCAAGCCCCTGAAATTTGGAGCAAAGTGAACAAAAAGTGAAGGACTTTGCTTTCTTCACGAAGGGTGGGGGGTTGCAATATCCACTCGTTATTTGGCATCCGCGAGGCAGTATGGATCATTTCCTTACATAAATGAAATTTCCTTCTTTACATATAAAATTATCTATTGATTTCGAATTGAAAATTGACAATGGTGATATACGTTAAGAATTTAGAGCAATGCTCAACTTAGAATAGACCTACCATGCTCATCTCTTCGGTCAGCCAAAACCTTTTGCCCCATTCGTCTTGTCCCCAAACAGGGGAAGAGTCTCTGGCTTCATTGCAAATCTTCAAGATCCAATTGGCAGTTTCTTCGTGTGTAAACGTATAGATAAGGTGAAATTTTGTCATTGAGGCTTTCTTGAATTTCGAGAAAATCAGTTTGAAGCTTGATAATGATTCGATTGCAAAGTAAGGGAATTGTCTGTAAGGTAGAAATACTTAAAATAATTTTAGCACCTTAGAAATTGCACCATGAAAATCATATAAACAAACTTTTACACCATATTCAACTTTTTCCAGACAAATAGCGTTTTCAGAGAGGGCTCAAGATAGAAAATCATATGTAACTTTTCTGCATAGAGAGATTTTCTTGTTTTGAACCAGGTTAAATCTTTCTTAAAAAGAGACTTGCATAAATCTGCAATTGAATATTTTCATTCAGTTGCTAGCATATAATTTTATAGAAAATTGATAGTCTAGATTATTAAGACCTTACAACAAAATTATCATCTGATAATTGAAAAATTTTCAGTTCTATTACATGGAACTCAAGTTATTTAGATTAAAACGAAGAATCATTATGCCAAAAAGAAATTTTCTCAATGCAAAATGCATTGTTTTCTAATCAGTTAACTTAATTCCTAATCAGTTAACTAATCAGTTAATTTCTAACAAGTTCAAAATCAGTTAAGATACTTTAAAAGATGTACATCAGTATAAAATATATTTCTTGGTATTTCTTCATACAGACATACAGACCATATCTACATCTAGACGTAAGCCAACTTACGTATTTTTAGATGCAAACAGCACAGCGATGACGTAGCAATTCAAGCATTTCAGCATCATTGATGACATTAGACTTGTTAACTTGGAGTGAAAATTATCACCATCCAACTCGTGTTCATTCAACAGTATAATCGATGTCCGTTCATCGACAATGATATCAGGCTGCTTATAGAATTCCATTTCCCCAAAAGTCTTGTAAAACTGAGAATAGTCTCTCTCTATCAATGTTAAATTCAAGCGGTTTTCAATCTCAGATAGCAGATTTTTATTCTCTGTTATCTTTCTAGAGCCAATAATGATGTGTTCACTGAAACATTTCATTGGCTTGTCTTTCCCAATAGATGCATCTGTTTGAATGCATGTAACACTTTCTGCAGAAAAAAAAGTTCAACGAAATGGCCTGGTAATCAAAGTCAAAAAGCGACTTTAGGTTATAGATGTCATACGTTTTGCATTCAATTAAAAAATCAGTCAACATAATACAAACATAGAGTAAAGTTGTATCTTTGAAAGGTAAGTTAATGTACCTTTGCAACCGAACAAGTCCCCGGTTGTACAATCATATGACATGAACCCTTGCATGTGTGGGTTGCTCTCAAAGCAAAACTTGGACCATTCAGACTCCTCCTTGTACTCAAATTCAATTACAAAACCGATTCGACTCCAAGGGCAAAATTGAAGCTCGGCAGACAACTCAGCCACGATGACATTAGCTTGAGAGATAGCCTCGCGAATATGTCCTTCTTCGGCAACATCATTGGGATATCTTCTGATCACAACATTTTTTACTAGGCGTAGACTTTCTTCAAGCGATGTATAACAATACTCAAAGTAACGACGAACCAGTATCATAATCTTTTGGTTAGATGACTGTGATGTTAGGTCTTGTACCATCTTTGTGATTTTTTCAACTTTTGGGTGCAGCTGGAAATCTGCATCAAGTTTATACTGCTGTTTCGCTAACTGCCTCCTAACAGATTCTAACAAGTCACCAACAAAACTTTCGTATTTTTCTCTAATGTGCTTCAATACTCCTGCAAGATTAACAAATAATGGATAAAAGGAGTTGTTCATATAAAATCAAAATAAAATTCACATTTTCTTTTTTATGTAGCACATTCCTTAACAAATTTTGTTCGTTAAATCTATTTCGTATAAATGACATAAAAATTGCACTTTATCTTCCTTTCAATTTACAATAAATACATTACAGCTCAAAACTTTGTATTTTCAGCTACAGTTAATCAGGGATACAGTAAGAAAACTTCGCTTGGAGACCATTCTGCTCTCCTTAACGACAAGTCTCCCTCTCTCCCATCTATCCTGCTCGCTCATGCGTCGTTGTATCTGTTTTGCACCTCTGTGCATTATTAATCGATTTACATCGCTTAAATACGAGGCAAATTCACTTTAGTTTGTCACACCTATATACTTATGTGTCTTCTAGCAATGCTGAGATCATGAAAGACGATATCAGTGAAGGAGCTACATCACCAAGCAGTGTATGGCATTTCCATACTGGTTTCAACACTTTTTCTTAAAAGGGTATAATTTCTCAATATACCAAACGTTATAAAACTTAAGCAATAAACTTCAACTGCATCTTCCAAATGTACGAACCTACAGCTGCAGGTATGCCATAATGAATGATGGCATCAAGTGACAGAACCAAAGCATGCAGGCATATGATTCCTTTCATTACATCGGCATCTAGATTTAAAACAATATTATAAATAAGAGGATTACAGAAATAGGAAAAAACTTTAAACTAAGACAATACACCAATTCGACTTACGGCCTCATTTTGAAAAATTCTTTTGTACAAAATTTTTGACCTCAGATTCGGATTGACAGCAATGATTTTAGTATACTTGTAAGTTTTCATTATGATATTCTTCATGATATTGATTTTATGACGACATAAAGATAAAAAATTTATAAGGGATTTGACCGTGATTGGCGACTAGGGGGGTAAAGTTTCCCCCCGAAACGATTTTTGCGGTCAAACCCCTTACAAAATTTCAAACTTCATTTCTCGGTAAAATCTAAAATACAAGCTCAAACAATATGAAAAATTGTATCCCGCCTAAAATTATGACGATAAAACCAAATCTGAGCTTAAAAAAGTCGTAAAATTAAATTTGGAGAAATTTCCAAAACGAGGTCGTAAGTCGAATTGGATTTCGTATAGGATCAGAAATAGTTAAGAAGCTTTTTTATTCTATACAAAAATTACAAAAATTACAAAAATTAATTTGTTCAAGCCACTACGTACGAAACTACTTCAATGCGCAACAAGAACGATACCAAGGGGAACAAAAGATCATATCCAAAAGATCAAAAACTTTAAATAATGAAAATCGTAAAATTGAACAATACTTAGACACATGCCTACAAAATGTGAATGAAAATGCTGCACACCAGCCACGCAGTGTGTTTTAATACGTTATGCTCTTATCAAGATACCTGTTATAGCGTAGGATTCGCCAATCAAGGTTTACTAGTTTCATTCTCATCAAAGTTACAGTACCAATAACATAAGAATAGTTGAGGGTACCTACCATAGTAGTAAAACATTTAAAATGTTTGTGCCCTGTTTGTTTATATTAAAAGCCTCTACAGCAATATATAACCAATTTAGGAATACTCAGAATGTGACAAAAATTGTTTATATCTATGATATTGTCATGTGTTGGTGTAGTAAACAGCTGAGGATGGAATTCAAATGCAAATTATTACTAGGTGCTAAATTGTGTAATAATCTCACCGTTTGCATTCATTGCTGAACTTTCATGTCTTTTCTCTTGCTGTCGAAGAAGGAACCTTGTGATATCTGGTTTCAAACTGAAAAACTGATAATCATGCCCAAGAATTTTCCTTTCCTTTAAAAAGCCGAGAAGAGGACGGGAATCTTTTTCAAGAATTCTTAAAACAATTATATAGTTGCTTGGTAAGTCAACAGAAACAACCTGGTTTTTCTTCACAGATTCATCAGATGGAGCAGGATTTCCTCCTTCTTTCACATTCTTCAAGTTAAAATCATTCTTTGCTACTTCCTGGTTATTAAACTGCTTGTTTTTCATTTTCAGTTGGTCTGGAGAAGTCTTTGTTACTTTCTCAAACTGTTCATGAGCATTAGTGGCGCAATCTTTGAAAACTGATGGCTTCACTTTAGCTGCTTTCACTATGCTCCCTAAAAATTAACATATTTTGGCAGTCACATAAGAACATATCTTCTTGCCAGTTACATAAGAGCACGTATTCTACCTTATATCGATCTTTTTGTAAAGACATGTAAACCGCTTCTAAACAACATTAAGTTTTCCATAACTCAACATGTATGTTTGTTTCACATATCAAAATACCACGCTGCTACATCACCACTATGATTGATACCAAATATAGGGCTTCAAGTAAATAATACTGTATTTCCGTGGAATTAGACTTTGTATCATGTTTCAAATGCGATCACTATTGATGCATCGTGGTATTCTGAGTTGCAAAAACAAATACCTACATCAGCCGGTCAAGTTACTGAGCCTCTGTACAATAACTATTGAGCGTAGCAAAACAGAATGATTTAGCGTACATATCAATATCATGGCTTTTCTCTTGAAATAACTGAATCGAAGAGGTTGAAAATGATGTTTTTCAGGCCATCATCAAAAATGAAAAAAAGCTTTAGGTACCGCGAAATTAGAAAACTTTTCGTGCCATTCTTGCTATTTCATACCATGCTACAAATGATTGATTATTCTTCTATTTGATGGACTAAACAAAGAGTTATTTTCAATATTGAAAAAAGTAAGACTACTAACGTGGAGGCACCATTGCAACTGGTAGTTTGTTGATGAAAACTTCTTTAGTTGCTTTTTCACCAGTCCTTAAGAGCATAAATGTATCTAAAGGTGAATCAGTAACCATGGTGGATTTGCTTTGCGTTTGCGATTCAGATTGGCTGCAACGAAAGCTCGAGTCATCTTTAACAGCTTTTGGTGCAGAACGTGCTTCTAAGAGAGAATTGCAATTATTATGTGCCAAAACACATATTTTGATTAGGTTAGAAATAATTCAGATTTGAAATGCTTGACAAAACAAGAAAATAATATACAATTCAAACTATAATTGCTAGCTGGAAGGATTCACACAATATTACAGATATAGATAAATGACTTGTAGTTACTCACGATTGTCTTCAGGTTTACAGGCTTGCATTCTTTCAAGAATTCGTGACATGAACATCTCTCTAAAATTCGCAGGTTTTCCTCTTTGTCTGGATTCAGAAGGAGTTTTCTCTTCCTGTTGTAATTGCTGCTCACCGGGGATTTCTTCGCCCATGACAGATTCATCACAACTTTCGTCTTGCAATAAAGTAAAGGAATTTTGCATAAAATTACAACATAAAAGTATGTCTTTAATACATATTGAACGATCGTAAATACCCTTTGGGTAATGCCAAAAGAGAATTCTTCGACAGATACATAGAAAGGGGGTGTTGATGATGACAAAAGCATTTTGAAAAATGAAAACAATTTCTTCTTTAGGCAATCTAGTGATTTATTTCAGTTTTCATGCAAGGGTTTCTACAAACCACTTTCAAAAACAAAGACTCTGATATAATGCAGATAACTACGAGAAGAACAGATAGCTGAGTTTTCTCTCAATTAGTTGCCTTGAAACGGCTCAAATAGATGTAAGGCTATGGAATTTTTTTTCAGCAAATTTGATAAAATCAATTTAAGGTAGGTAGAGAAAATACTCTCTTTCTTTTCCTGGTGAATGAAAAACTCAACACCTTCCTTCTTGTTGTAGTTAGTAACAGCAAAGGGTACTGCTTGGACTTATCATTTTAGAAGCAAAAAGGCCCGATAATGAAACATACCTTCAAGATGTAGGCGTCTTAAGTCATATTTTTGCAAATCAAGATCATCGTGATTGTTTTTCTTTGGTATTTTGCACAACCCTGTCATCTCAGACGTTAGAATCTTCTTTGTGCTTGAAACTTCCTTTCCCCAATGCACTAGAGGGTCCCATGGCAACAAAACCTCGGAGTCACAGTCCATAAACGACTGGCAATACTCGTTTAACAATTGTTTCAAAACGGGCGAGGTTTTTAAGTCAGCAGATTCAGGCACTATAAAGAAAACTGCATCGTGACATTACTCGTGATATCACGAACTATCCTATTTTCGAACCTAAATAGCTGTAAATATAGAAAGCTTGGAATTTTTATCTTAAATTCTTGAATTTATCTAACATGTAGAAAGCTTGAAATTCTAGTATAGATCACGAGGCTTCCTTAGAATTTATTTTCAACGACTGCATTTTAGAAACCCGACTTAAACAGTTTATTAAACACTACTTTACACAATAAAGACAATACTGACGGTATCTTTTTATTTAAAATATTATTTGCTTCTACGTCTTTACTTAACCAGTTTCATTGAATACTTTATGCAATACACGCAATACTGCTGTAAAAAGAAACGGTATTTGATTATTTAAAATACTATGCAAATTCAATAATCACAGTCTTGCCTTTTAGTGTCATGGAAAGCGTGTCATCTAGGAATTTGTCACCATCGTTCAGTTCTTTAGCCAAATTTTTCTTAGAAGACGGTGATACAAAATGCCTGTAATAAAAATCCTTAAATAATAAATTGCATATTGAAAATAGATTGGAACTCGGTTTAAAGCCTAAATAACTTAATAAAATCTAAATATTTGACTTTCTTATAAGGTCTTACTTTTGGCTGAGTGGAGATACTTCTAGAAGCATCGGCTGGATTGCTGTTATGGTATCGCTCATTACAGTTGAACGCTCTAGTGAACAGATCGATAAAGGACTGTCCAATCGTATGGAGTTTTCATCAGGTGCTTTTACATGGTCATCTATAAGAAAGTATATAGAGGTAAAACTGTAGCACTGTCAAAATAGATGAGCATATTGAAACTCCTAAGAAAAGGATGTATTAGGCATTAGATGCTTCAAATAGAGCAGATAGATAAACATTGGCTACTTAACCCCTAAAGAATTTATAATAAAGACAGAAATCTTCTTTTACCCAGATAATGCTGTAGTGCCATAGCTTATGTCCTGCAGATATGGCCATACATCTATAGAGGACAACACAGAGTAATCCCTTTGAAAACATGTCTTAAAATGATTTGATTGACATTCAACAATCATTCTAACGCTATGAAATAATGCATATAAGCTGCTACCTAAGACCATTGCATACCGATAAGAAGTTTGATTTCTTTTTCTCTGACGTCACCATCTGATCCTGAGTCACATCTGTCTAGCTTCTCAATCGTAGATCTAAACTGGAATTTGTTGGCTGTGAGACCTTTAAGCACAGAATGAAAAAGATTTATTGTGCTACCTTCATCAAATACCAAATAGAACAGAACTTATCACAAGGTGCTGAAGATATATTAACTGGAAAGCCTGCAGATTTACAATGAAACAAGCTATTGTTCTGCTATTACAGCTTCAAAAGCTACAGGACACTTGCTTCAGGGCACATCACTTAACTTTTTTCTTGTTTGATAGTGAATGCATAATGACAACTGAAGATATTGAAACTTCTTTTCTCGCTACATTTTCTCGTTTTAAAAATGCTAGTTATCTGTTTGAAGCTCCAAAACAGAATAATATCACTTAATTAAGGAGGAGGCAATGAATAAAACCAAAAACGCAACAAAAAACGACGAACAGAAGTGTTCAAAGCACCTTGGACGTTATACGTAAAATCCATTTGCAACTTTCAGAATACAGCAACACTTCTAAAATTATACTTTAAAGTTTACCAATTATGTCTGTATCACCATCTTCACTGGAAATTTCCATTGGACGTAAGCACATAATATCATCTTGTCGAATCACGTTGATATTGTCATCTTGATCACAAATTGGGACATAATTTAAAGGCTCCTCAAGTAAGAATGGATCGTCCTAAAGCAAACAGAAAGCAGCTAACAGGCAGAGGCATTACTTCCAGCTTTATTTCGAAAAATGAGAACTTGAAGGGAAAACAATATTATTTATCAGTTAAAGAAAAAATATTTAGAAGTTGAAGTGTTGGTAATCTTTTGAGCTAACCTGTTTATATTATGTCCCGTAAGGATTTTTGTACTTATAAAATCTATTGACACACATCAGCAAAGGACTGGGCTTTAAGATTACTGGATTCTCGAACTTCTTATCTTAGCAAAGCATCGTTATAGCAGTAGGGCATTCTTGTGGGAATATTAAGAAAGAGTTGAGTAACTCACCTTGAAAGGCAACTCAATTTTCTCGAAGGTTTCTTCAAAGATTGTGAAATCTATCTGCTCTTCTTCACTCATAGAAATCTTTCTTTCACTGAAAATAAATTAATTTGTTTTTCATAATTTATGAACGAGCCTAGATCCGTAAAAACTGAGATATTAATAAGAAAATGAAAAAACAGGAATGATAGAAAGAAGCATTTTCTTCAATATAAACAGTAACTTGAAATAAATCTTTCAACGATGACATCAAAGAGATTATACGTGTAAAAACTACTGTAATTTAACAGCTATCAATATTTGAAAAATTTTTCGAGGTAAAAGATTTTAGAAGAACAAGAAGAAACAGCTGAAGCATTGAATTACCGAATAAGGAGATCTTTCTGTAGCCCAAAATTGATTAGAAAAGGGTCTGCAACGCGTACAGGTCTCAGCTTTTGTGACAACGATGACGGACTGGTTGGCAATGACTTAAGGTCCGATAGACTCCAATCAGATTCAACATCTTCCAGATAAAGTACCCCTATTTAGCAGGAATAATTGATTATAGAAAAAACTAAGTAATAAAAATATATGTTTGATTTATAAATGAATAAACGAGATTTTTGGGCAATATTTATACAAGCAGAAAGAACATTAGAGGGGGAAACAATCTGCATAAGTAAGTGATTTTAGCAGATGCAAAACCATTAAAGAGACTGGGAATTTTCTATCTGACTACTCAGGCTAAAGGCATTATTGCTGTAAACCAATGGAGATTTGAAGATGCCCAAGAGAAAGAGCACCAATCCTGTACTTACAGAACGTTTATTGGTAATTGTAGTACCCGTAACGGAAACCTTGAGGATGATTTCCATCGGACCCTTTCTACATGCACTACGTTTATAGATGGTCCCCGAAAGCCTTTTGAAACATGGGCAGAAACGGTGGTATACTTTTAAAAAAGTTCGCTCGAAGAAAAAATGGTTTAAAACTTTGAACCAGTTCTTTTAGTGGCTTAAAATGTTCTATTTTTCAATTTCAAAGGTTTTCCTCTCCGTAGTATGCATATTTGATTTTGAATAAAGCTATGTCTATGTTTAGAAACATAACATATATATCACATTGTGTTTAACTACGCAAAAAGTGGTGACAGATTGCCGCTATTGGGCAGCCAGATAAGATAAAATACAGCAAAAAACAAATACCTTCTTCTACTACATCCTTTACGCATACATCATCTGCAAAAATATCTTCATTTTGGTTCAATGAATTTTGGCCAAATGATTCTATCTCATCTTCCAAGCTGTCAAAACTGTCAGGAAAAGGAGAGTCTGGATTTGAGCTCGGAATCACTTCCACTTGTGACGGGCTTTTGAAGGGACTTTCCTGTCCAATTGTCTCAATGCGGTTCAATGGACGAATACCACAGAAGATTGAAATCAGATTTGTTAAATCAGCTTCAATATCAAGACCATTATGTCTCTGGTCAACAGTGCATGTTTCTGAAAATTTGAAAAAATTACAAGAATCATTTCATTGATTATTGATTTCAAATAGCACAAAAATATGCAATTGACTAATTTGCGAAGTTTACCAAAACTTTATCAAACTTTGCATTGAAAAGTAACCATATTGTCGTCAACTATTGCTTAGAGTCCGTACTCTGTACAAAGTAAGAAAATTATTCATTATTACCGAATGCCAAGCCCCCAACCACCCCTTACTACAAAATTAATCTCTTAACTTTGAAGTCAACTATTTCAAAATTCATCTGCTGCAAAAGATAAGCAGATAATTCTAAATTCCAAGTTCCATTTTGTTTATATTCAAACGTTATAAGTTTAATAATCTTATGTTCAAATGTTACATTTGACGATGCTTGTAAGAAAACACAAAGGTTTAGAGACTTTTACATTGAAAATGATTCAAAACATTTGAAACGACAAAATGCAGGTTTGCAAAATGTTTACCAGCTAATCCAATACTTTCTTTTAATGCTGTTATTCTGTTTTTCTTTGAAACACCAGACAGTTGATCTAAATGATGGGGCACACCCAATAGGCAGTTATTCAGCAGATTCTGCCGTTGATTTTGGTACTGAAAAAAGAACAAAGTTTTGCAGAAAATCTAGTCAAACAAGCAGAAATTTCAATAAACATTAAAACATCAAAGCATCTTATTTGATGCTGTGATTTTAAGAATTTGGCATGGTGGCATAAGTGTAAGGGGCCTGGGGGGCTCGGGGTTCTGGGGACTTGGAGTGGGCAGCTTCAGCTCACTGACTAAATTCGGATAGTTGATTGCTTTGGGCAAAGCAAAAAGTCAGATGATATGAAAGAAAGCCTTGCCAAAATACAGATGGAATGAGAACAAAAGCAAGTACAGGCAGGAAATTCCATGTACTGGTTTGGACCCTCGTGGTTGAAAACGTCGTTTATGCCAAGAGCCTACTCTATTTCTAGTACAATTCGAATGCTATTTAACTTACTTTAATGGTTGTAAATCCTAGACTTTCTCCAGAAATTCTGCTCATTTACTCAGGTAGACAAAAAATCTTTTCAAATCTTTTGAAAATCGAAATAAACAAAGAAGATACGAGTGATAGTTCTAAACTTTGCAATAAAAAATTGAAGGTCTGACACTGAGATGTTGTAATTCAGAAGGACGAACTCAAAATAATTTTTCCTGTACTGCAAAGTTTACCCTACTTTCTACTTCGCCCTGTGGCTGCCATTAAAGTACTATATGCTTACTTCTTGAAAATTATGAAAGTGTTCTTTGATTTTGCCTTCTTTTTTGCCTACGACAAACATTTCAATTTCTAGTTTGGGTGATAGGAGCAAAAATAGCCCAAATTCCCATCCCCCAGAGGGGCTAGAGATGATGTTGGGTCACTCCATTTAGCTCGGTTTCGCCAATATGGTTTGGATAAATTTCTAGATTTGGATTTGGAAGTCTCAATTTTGTCAATTGATGTAAGTTTTGTTTACGTCTTTGCGAGATTTAAATATCATATAGATGCAAGCACTTCACTGACTTCGTAAGCTTCTTCGGTCAAACATCAAAGGTCAATCTTCGAGAAACGTACTCAGTACGGATAAAACACTAAATATCTTTGGTCGTGTCCGAAAGAAATTTATGCTTTTTACTGAACGTTCATTTCAGCAAATTGAATGATTGAAAAATGGATAATTATTTGAAATTAAAATTGAAAAAGGTTAATATTAATTTTATTTGACAAAAAGTATTGGCTAGGCCAACCTTAAAGCTAGCTAGTTAGAGCATATATACCATTAAAATTTGAAAAGAGGTATCTTTCTGGGCAAACGGCTGAAATCAGTGAAGGGTAGATATATGAAAACTCGCCCTCAAAATATAAGGCTTTACATATTCATGGTTTTGTATTTTGTATAGCATACTTTGAGTAGACAAGATAAAATCTGTACGTTGACAAAAAAGGTCCTACCTGAAGCAAATAATTCGTTTCTAGAAATCTAGGCATTTTTAACTCTGCCATGCGACAACTTTCTTTGATAAACTTCTGTTCTCAATGATTTCTGAAATTTCACTAGCATTGTTTACATTTTAAACTATATATTATCTTTTCTAAATAAGGTGTTCATTTTCAATCACGTCAGCATCTGACCTACTCAAAAAGGGCGGGAGATGTTCTGTTAGTCCCAGGCTCCTTTATTTACACAAGCCGACAACTTGATTCCCTTACTTTTACTATAATTTTATATGATATAATTTAATATGATATAATATAACTTTAATATATCGTGACGAACTCAATTGCGAAAATTTGAGAAGATTATTTGCTGCATTGAAGCACACAAAGAAAGAAAGAAGAATTGATTAAAACATAGATTAGTTTTTTCTCGCATCAATTTTTTGATAAAAAAATGTCAATTGCATCCATGCCAACAACTGCATTTCAAATGCATCGAACTTTCTGTGACTGATTGCCCAACTCGCGTCTCAATTTGACGCCTTCAAGCTCTCTAGATTTCTGAGACTTGTTGGGGAGACGAGCAAGAGAAAGTTTTTTAAAAAGTGAGGCAACCCTCCGTCATGGAGTCAAAGAGCATGCGCACAGAACGAAGTTATTATTACGCATGCTCTCTGAATCCAGGACGGAGGGTTGCCTCACTCATTTGAAGACTTTCGCTCGCTCGTCTCCCCAACAAAGACATTTTTTTGAAATTTTAGATTAAAATTTTTTAAGATAGAGGTTAAAAACCTTGAGAATGTAACGTTGAGATAATCGTAAAGAGGTTATGGATAGATAGTTTGTTTAGCCAGCATGTACATGGGTATAGCCATTATGGAAAAGTTTTTTTCGCCACAAAATGCTGAATTTTGCATGATATTGCTGCTCTTCTAAATATAGAGATTCTAGGAAACATTAAATGTTTAGAAATACAAACTTTCTTGACCTAACAGTAAGTCTATAGTTTTAAAGAGAGGTTTAGCTTTCTTCAAAGTTCAAAGAACTGAAAGACTTGCATTTATATCAAATAAGATAAAAGGATCCTAGAGCGTTTTACGACATTTTTTGCTTTACAAAACGAATTTGAATTTGAAATAATGTTAACAAGCGAAGAGAAAGATATTAGCAGCAGTCTAGGTAACGGATCAAGCAAATTTTTTTCTTCATCCTTCGGTCGTATTTGTGCCCTTTTTGCATAGCATGGGAGATTTTTAACAATTGCAAACTTTTTTCTTCAAATTTCAGAATGGTATTTTAAACCCAGTTATTTGTATTCAAGATATAATTTCAAATGCAGTTATCGCTTCTAAAATAAAGTTGTTGAGTTTTCCCTTTCTCTCTTTCTCCTCTGGGTTGAAGACCTAAGAAGTCCTCTTAAAGCTATTTCGGTCTGTTTGAATACAGCTTTTATTTCAGCTTCAAATTCTAATTCCGATATATGCACAACGGTCCTAAAATATTCCTAAAGAAATTGAGCTACGTTAAGTACAAAACTTTAAAGCGGATAAATTTTCGGACAATAAACTTTGGTTATTTTCAGACAGTTTTTCTAAATTTCGTACAAATGAATTTTCGGACAAATGTTTACCAGTGTTTTGGAGGTTTAAAGCAAAACCACAAACTGTAACATAGTATATAAAACCAACAATAGGCGAATGTATTTTTCTCCATCTTAGGAATCTTAGTCAACCCCCCCCCCCCAGACCCCTTCTAGCCTCGGGCCTGCGTCTGGCTGGAGTTATGATCAGTCATTTCTCAAAGGCATTGACACTGTTGAATCAGATGCCACGGGGAAAGAAGAAGAAGAAAGTGAGGGTGAATTTTTCATCAACGATGAAAACGATGATGCATTGAAACAAGTGCTCCTATTAGCTTGAAAGAACGAGTGTTTTAAAACTTTTTTGCAGACATGCATGTTTACCCATCCAGGAAACGGACGTCTATGCAAGGTTGATGGCGTATCCTTTTATATACAAAGGGCTGAAGATTGTACCCTTTGCTTTGGTCAATGTTCATTGCGCATAGGTGGTTCATCCAAAATTTTCAGCGTGACCAACTTTTGGATAACTCCAAATTTCGTAGGAAAATACTTTCGGACAAAGATTTGTCCAAAAGTTTGACACGCTGAAAATTATTCTACCTGATCTACTTCATTGATAATCTTATCCAAATCACGAGTGGGCTACCTTTGTTCTCGCAGCTGTTTCCAATCGACCAGTTGTTTCCAGTTCTTGTTGTTAATTTTCAAAAACTTCTAAAGCACTTGTTGATTTCTCCTTTTGCTTCATGACACGTTAAGACGATCGAGCTATCAAGTGAAAAGCAAAAGCTGTCAAATTTCCAAGATAGGTTGATTTTTCATTAGAAAAACTCTGTCCATTGTCTTCTCCTCGGACATTGTGTGTACAGTGCTATATATATGGTAACGCTCTGTTCATTCAATAGAAAGAGGCTGGAGTGACGGTGAGGGGAAGCAGCAGCATGAAACTTTTCATCCTCTTTTGCTGCCTTGCATTGGCAGGTGAGATCAATTTTTTGCTTTTGAGAGGCATTGCTTTATGGTTGCAGGCATGATGTCTTTTGGAGAAAGTGAGGGGAGGGGGGAGTTAATTAGTATTAACATCTGTAAAGTAAGATTGAAAGAATTTACCTGCTTAAGCTTTCAAATTTGGGTGTGTTTATAGATATCATTTTTAAGAATTTTTAAGCATCGCTGTGTGTGCTAAACGTGGCATCGTCTGTAGATTCACAACGTGCTTCGTGTTTCCGAGGAAGGAGTACTTGTCCAAATGTTAAAAAGGGAGCACTTCTAAGAAAAGGGATAAAATTAACTAAAAGTTGGGGAAAACATACCCCTGATGATCCATCCCTAGTTTGAATTTCCCTGACCTCTAAAGTTTTCTATCCAAGGCGAATGGTTACAATTTGAATGTAGCTTAGTCTATAAAAAAGTTCATTCTTCATTTTGCTGACTAAATGATAAATAAAGCTTCGCAATTGAAGGATCGATTTCCGTTATAACTGACTCCTCTTTACAAAGGAAACCAATTAACTAAAAAGTGGAGTCAGGAACATCACATCAGAGAAGTTATAAAGTTAGAGGCGTGTTATAGGTACACAGGTAGAAAGAGCACCATGTGACAGCAAAAGAGACACCTTTTCAAAAATCCCAAAGAGCTAAATTTTGAAATAGGGAGGTATTTTCCCAAAAGTTAGGGAGGCACGTGCACCTGGTACCCCCTTAAGCTACGACGCTCCTGAAGTTAATTGATTTAACATTGCAATTGCACTACAGGATCCACGCCCCTCCCCCCTCCTCCATTGCAAATTCGTGGCGTGGGCCCTGCACTACAGGGAGATACTAATATTAGGCAGAAAGTCCTCCGCAGTAGCCACTATCCAGCAAACCAGGAATGCGTTTTCCTTATACGTGCCATTTGCCTCAAAAAGCTTTGTCCTCTTACTTAAATTTTTCAAATACTATCCCCAATTAACTGTGGATTTTGTACACAAGCTGCCAACTGTGCCAGAGCGCAACGATGTGATAATTTCTCTTCCCACCCATGCAAAGAATTTGCCCTTGACTTTATTTTTGCTAAAGATTTGACCTCCCTGCCCTTCATGGTCACTGAGTTGTCATTTGCTCCCCTTTGCATCGTTCTTGTGTGTCGTAAAGTGGCTCATATACAGCGCCTCAAGTAGTTCGTTATAGTAGAATGTTTATTCAACAGAAAGAATAAAGAATAGTCCCTGTTTGCATCGTTTAAGTGTCAACCCTTCCGATGATCCTGCGACATTCTAACAGTTTACATAGATAAACAATAGAAAAATTGTCTCCTCTTACCAATATATTTTTACCAATACTCTTACCTTGACAAAAGTGGGCAGTGATTATATCCAATTTTGAACCCCCCTCCCCCCCCCCCGCCTCCAGCAAATTATGCTTGTTGTAATAATAATAATGCAAAACGTTCAACAATGGCCTAATCTGTGGCAACAAAATATTGCAATACCTTGAAGTTTTATGTTTTCAATAGATGCCTTTGCAGAGCAAACAAAGTACACGTACCGGTACGAGAGTTTCCTTAATCCTGCAAAGATTCCAAACCAGGAAAATCAGATAGCCAAGCTTCACTTGAATGGAACCGTGGATTTACACATCCTGAGAAATGGAAAGGCTATCATCGAGGTGCGTTCGAAGTTTCTAATAATTGCCAATAAATCTCATAAAAGAACAGTCTTGTACGGTAAAATGTATACAACTGGAGACTGAATTTTATTGAATTAAGCACAATATGGTTTTCAGAGAAACTAATCGTTGTAATATTCATTTTTTCTTTCTTTTATTTAGAGTTGATACAATATCTAGCTATACTCAAGCTAATTAAAACCAACTAATTTAAATTACCAACGCTTAATATAATGTAAATCAAATATAACCGATGTTGCATGCGTATTCCTTGCAAAGATTACAAGTACAATTGAACGATGTAAATTCTGAGAATATTTTTTGACAATTTGTAAAATTTGGGGGTATTTTATTTCGTTTGGAACTGAGTTCCATATTTGGCTACGTATGATATGATACTAAATTCTTATATTTTGTAACGTGACTCCGCTGTTTTGAATTGGGTGTTTCTTAAGTAATATAGGCATTCATTCATAGAACATATTTTATCCATTAAAGGAGGACTAAAACCGTTAAATGTTTGTAAAGTTCTGTCCCGATATATTGTAAATTTTTCTTATCCAAAGTTATTGTTTTATTCTTTATTAAAAATTGTTTTTCATTTTATACAAAAGTTGATTGATAATCATTATGAGCTATTCTCGTTGCCCTTTCATGAATACTGCTTATCTGTTTTTTTGTTTTTCTATTACAAAGCATCCAAACAAGAGGACAATAATAAAAACATGATAAAATAAACGTTTTCGTTAAAAAAATTCGCTTAGGTTTGTTCATATACGAAGCAATTCTGGCTAGAGTGTTTACCTTTCTCCCAGCTACTTTAAAAAAAACTTTAATATGTTCTTCTTATCTAAGTTGATGGCCTAGTGTTACTCCCAAAAGTTTAACATTCTTACTTTCTATTATAGTAGAACCATTTATTTGAATTTTAGATTTCTCTAAATTGGATCGGTTGGCTTTAAAAGTTATAAGCTTGCTTTCATCGCCATTGAGAACCAAAAAAATTTCAAAAGCCATTTATTAAGATTAGCTGCTTCCGATTCTAAGTCGTCAGTTAGTTCATTACTTGACAGCCAAATTGTATTGTCATCTGCATAGTTGCATAAGTTGCTTTTGTTCAAATGCAGAAAAATATCATTAAGGTAAATTTTTAAAAGCAACGGGCCTAAGATTGATCCTTGAGGAACTTCCTGTTTTTTTCCATTCAGTCAATAAACTAGAGGTTATTTCTACTCGTTGTACTCTTTTATCTTTATAACTATACATGAATTACATTGCGTTGTCGCTGAAGCCAATCATGAACATCGCCATGCATGCAGCAAATTATCAAGTCTGATGCCAGGAATTTTATGAGCTACTGGCAGCGCATATATCCAGCCATTCACCGCTGACATTAGAAGCAGCAATGCCAGATGAAAGATGATCAATTTTGGTGTCATATATGACGCAAAAACATCAAAAGACAAAACTGTCATAAACGATTGACATATGTGTTATTAATTGGCCTTATACTTTGTTATCCATCCTGCTAAAACTGCATTGCAAAGATATTGAAAAGCAAGACGTGCAGAGTTAAATTTAATAGCTTTATGACAGGAATCAGTTAGCCAATAATAAGGCACTACATATCATACGTAACAACATTGCTTGAAGGATGACAACCTGTGTTTAAGGCAAGTCGTTGCATTTACTGCAATAAATATAATCTAAAGCCTTTCTTCGTTGTGTAGGTCAAGGACATCAGCATCTACGAATGCCTTTCAGACCCCAAAAACATGAGCGGAGTAAATGAAAGGTTTTCAGAATTCAGCACCAAATTGAGCCGCCCATACCTGATGAAGCCAATCAAATTCGGCTACACCAACGGACTGGTACAGCAAGTCTTTGCACCAGAAGACGACCCATCCTGGTCTGTCAATATGAAGAAAGGTATCCTCAACATGTTGAGCGTTGATGTCCAAGGCAAGGATCAAGAGACTGGTCTTAAAGATTTCTTCAACAAAGAAGAGGTAAGATAATCTCTATCACTTTCGAATAACACCGAATAATCGAATAAAATCTTCCCGGAAACGTTAACAAAGCTCGACAATTCAAGTCTCCTTCATATTGGTCCGCATAATTGTTAGAAATAGAGCAACTTTGATTTTACGATAGTTTGACTCAGCCCCCATTAGCAATTGCATGTGCTCTTTGGCTATACATGGACAGTGACCGGCGTTGAAGTTATGCCTTTTCGATCATCTTCCCTAACAGTAAATTTACGAGGACGTTTTAAAATTCTTCGAACTTCTTTGTACTGAATTTTCGTCTTCAGATTCGGATAAGGAGCAGAAATAGATTTCATGCAGCTAATGTCTGTGATGTTGCTTTTATGACGACATAAAAATACAAATAAGAAGTTTGGCCTCAATTACTGGGGGTTATTGTTGAGGAGACCAGTGTTATTGTCTAGATTCCTAATGTTCAAGGCTGTTATTCAATTCATTAGTCTGAACCAATGAGAAAGTACATCATATGCACATGCGCATTAAGACGAAATTTCGCGAGCAAACTTTACATTTCGTGGCATTTCACAGCATTCAATCAAAACCATTATTTCTCATAACTGCATTCTATAAACCAGAGTTTCATTCTCACTCTTTTCATGACATTCCCTTTCCAGAAAATCTTCGTATTTTGATTTGAGTTCATTGTGGCCTTAGAAAAGAATCACCATGACTCAACGTATGGTGATGAATCCTTTAGAAGCATTAAACAATGAAGTTTGTAATTACTTCAAAAACAAGGCCCTGAGTTGAATTTGTACATTGCATTTCCTTTTATTCGAGTTTTTCTCTTGATTGTGTGCTACTTTTTCAGGATACTATCCTTGGCGTTTGTCAAACATCGTATAGCAACAAATACTTTGAAATTGTTGATGCACGTGAAGTGAGGAAAAGAATTGGAATGAATTTCACAAAGACCATCGATATGGAGAAATGCACTGGTCATAATTACGATATCTACAACAAAGTTGTCCAAGGCAGAAATCCGGATCAGGATTCGGTTAGTAGCGATTGATTCGAAGAAAATAAATCTTTTTACTGCAATTTTTTGTAATAAGCACGTTGGTTGATCTAGATATTGCACTTTGGTAAGTTACCACGTGCAATATGAATGACATTTGTTCGTCTGCTTTATGCTTTAGAATCCACTGAAGACAACAGCAACGATCAAGTACAACATAACTGGAACTGAAACCCAGTTCACGATTGAAGGTGTCACTGCCCAGGGTGTCTATGTTCTGTACCCATTTTCCAAACAGGAAGAAGGCATCCCTACTGAATCTCTTCAAACACTTGTTCTCTTGAAAGAAGGTGTCAGCAACTTTGAAAGCGAATACTCACACCATCTTGGTGAGAATAACATAAAATTTTTTAGAGCTAGTGCACTACCAGTTGCAGACTTTTCATTTCGAATTTTGTCAAGTTTAAGAGTATTTCTCAAGCATATTTTCAATGTTTTATTTGATTTTTGAATACTCTTGTACTCTTTAACGAACTACTGAATTATATGTGATTTGAAGAGGTTCTAATATTATTTGATATAGCATGGAACCAACGTGGAAAACTAATGATGGAAATGCCATCCTTCCATAAGCCAGAGGTTATCCCACCACTTTCACAGAGCGAACGGGATAACAAAGCAACCTACATCTGCAACGCTATCAAAAGATTCTCATCATTGATTCCAAAGGGAAAGCCAGTACAGAGTGTAATCCTTCAGCCTGAAATCTCAACCATTTATATGCAAGTTGTCAACAACCTGAGAATGTGTGATCTTACTACATTGTCTGGAGTGTGGGCAAAGTGTGCAGATGAAGATTCAATGTTTGTAACTTCAAATAATCTTCCTTTTTCTTTAGGATAATATCGCTACTTTCTATAAATTTCAGCTACAAATTTTATAATAGATATTGTTCGACATGTAATTGAAAATATTTTTACTTTTTTCACTTGGTATTTTGCAATTTTTTGACAGATTAGTGATCGACTGTCAAATTCACGAGAATAAGAAACAACTATATATTGCATTGTCTCAAAGTTATAGACATTTTCCAGTTATATTTTATCTATGCCTGCAATAAAATGTCTTGGCCCAATTCACAGGAGATGGCACGTGTACGCTTTGAGTCTTTGTCACACGGAGTCATGTATGGAGTCGATGAGAACAAAGGTGGAGAAAGTAAAAGAGGAAGACATTTTGACGTATTTGCAGGGAATCAGTTTTATTGGTCAGCCAACCCGATCTATTGTAAACAAGATGCTGAAATTTTGCAGTACACCAAAGATTGCAAACAATCCAGAACTTTTCAAAGCTTGCTGGATCAGCTCAAGCAACATTGCAAAGGGTTACTGCAAGGTTGAAACCATGTGCACATCATGGGTCGAGGGCTCTGTTAAAGATGCGTTACTACAAATCTCAAAGCCACAATGTTATAAGGATATCCACAATTGTCAACCAATCCATGGTCTCACAGTTCATACTGTTATGTCGATTGCTGAGAATCACGGACGACCATCGTACTTAGCTGCCCTTGAATGCATCATTTTGCTCCCCGAAGTGCCAACCAGTGTCAAAATGCACGCCATTAACTGCCTCAGGCCAATCATCAGACAGTCACCAAGAAGGGTGCAAATTGTGCTCTTAAGGCTGTTCCGTGATTTCAAATACGACAGCCAGATGCGCACTCTTGCTCTCTCGGTGATAATGGAGAACCCCCATCCACACCTTATCCAGCTTTGTGCCCGCCAGATCTATGTTGAGCCAAGCTTGAACATCAGGAAATTTGCCCATGAATTGTTCACTCAATGCAGTGAATCAGTAATCAAATACAACAGAACCATGTGAGTTGCTATGTTGATAAAGTCTCCATCTCATTTCTTTTTACAATGATGCAAACTAAGTGACTTGTATCTCGATAAGATGATACATCCGCAAATGTCTATACGGTTTTATGTTATGCTGTATCCTATATCAAAATCACTCTGCTCATACCTTGTCTTTAAAGACCATGCTTTATTATCTAAAATCAATTTTCAGTCGTCACACATGCAAATCAGTTCTCAAACTTTACACCAAGTCGTATTTGCCTTCTCCAATGGCGAACTATCGCAGTCTTCACATGAACGGCCAACTGAAAAACCAAAGACTCAACCTTGCCAGCGAACTTGAAGGAAGCTGGATTGCAAACAACAACAGCTACGTCCCAAGATACTCTCAAGCTAGACTAAGAGCATCGATTCTTGGAAGGAAGTTCGAGGTTTTTGATGTAAGTTATATTAATAAACATCGGTGGTCATGAGAGAATAGATTAATGTTGGCCTATGATATAGATTTATATAATATAGATTCCTTTTTACGTAATATTCAATAGTTTGTCTGATGAGTGCGCAAGTATAAGAGAAAAAACAGAAAGTGTCTCATTTTAATGAAACTTCCAATTTATCAGCTGTTATCTACTTATGTGCACCGAGCACTGTAATGTCAGAATAGGCAACGCTTACATGGATGTACTCAGACTTATAAGGTAAGATATATTATGCTACATTCCTCTCTATCTAGTCTTGAGAGTATTTTTTTGTGTCACTCTGCAAGAAAGCCTTGTCATCTTGCCATCTATAAACTTATTGTTGCAGTCTCAAGTCTACATGCAAGGAATTCAAGACTACATAGACTGGTTGATTAGCTTGATCAGTCAATACACTGACCACACAAGTGAAGAATCAAAGCCTGTCAAAAAGAAAATGGATGAAATCAATGAAAGGGTCAGTAGAATACCTTGTTGGGAAGATCTAAAACAATCATTTGCTTACAAATGAATAGAAGGGTTTGAAACAAAAATTTTACCAAAGTAGAAAACAGCATGTTTAGCTGTCAATTGTTAAAGCCTCAAAGCATCATGTGCATTAACCTTAGCGCTGACAGAATTTAAGCCCGTAGCACACTTGAGGTATCAGCTGAGCTGAGCTTCACTCGTAACTGTTGGCGTAAGCTGTTTCCTCAAGTGTGCAGTGTCCTGCTTCCTGAAATTTTCGTCACGCCTGCCATCGGCGCAGGATATTCAAAATGTTGAATAATTTTGTGCACAAATGAACATATTCTCACAGTTTGTGCTCTGAGCAATTTCATTGATATTTTGCCGCCAGTTAAAAGTGTTAAGCTAGAAGACCGATTCTATCTCATTTTTTCTCATCTTCTAACTTTTTTGCTGACACAGTAACATTTTACCAATAGGCACCTGCCAATAACAGACACTTGAAACAACAGACAAATAATTTTCTCTAAAAATTTGTTCGTTTAAGTCAAATTCTAGGAAAATCTACCCTCAAACAGATATTTGTCAATAAAGGACAGTACCCTAAAAGTTAACTTTTTTGTCAATTCTTTATTGTTACAATTTGTTTGCTTCAAGACCTTTTACAAACCAAAAGAGCCCGAGGATCTTGTATACGAAGGAAGCTTATCACTCTTTGACAAATTGGTGAACGTTAGGAGTTTGAACTTGAGCAGAGACGTTGGGTTTGTGGAACACTTCTTTACACACCTTAAGCAAATAATGAAAATCATCAAACAGCTAGAAAAAGGGGAAACCTGGACATGGACTAAGGTAATTGCCTATTCATTATTTTTTGAAATCTCATGATACATGGAAGTATATACTTTTTCTGTTTCATATAGAATTTATTGTTTCTTGTTCTAAACCAACTTTTTTTTAGATTATTGCTCGTCAATAGCATCAAGCTAGTAGTTACTCTTTTCTTAAGAATCATTTCTTAAGAATAGCAATGGTTTATCAACTGCTAACCAAAATTGTTCTCTTTCAAGAAATATGTAAATTAATTCATTGTATTAATGAATAACTTGCGTTTGGAAATAGTCGCACTCAATATGAAAGTTCAATTTTTGTCATGAATAACAAGCACTAATAATAAAGGTATTTTTAGAATAAATAGAAGTACACGTTATACATTTATCAGGGAAGCCGTTCTTCAGCTTTCATATTTCTGTGATTAAACTCAATGATTACTCAATAAAGTACCATAATAGAAACAGCAAAAAGCACATAAGACACTGATTCACCTCTTGCCAAGGGTTCTATTATAGAATAACATATGCATTCTTAGTTCTGAAGTTGTGTTTACTAGAATCTATATTTAATATAGTAGCTATAAAATTGCACTAGGCGATTTGTTTGTAACCTCAACTCTTTTCTTTCAGCCTCTCATGCCTGTCGATCTGATGTACAGAATGCCATCCCTAACAGGAATACCTCTTGTGTTCAATATGACAAGTATTTTTATCCCTTATGTGAGATCAAATGTTGAAGTAGAAATTACACCAGAAATTTCTTCACCATTGGCCCTGATCAAGGGTAAAAAGCTGGAGGAAATCGAACTTTCTGGAGTCCAGCAGCTCAGGTTCGTGCTGTTTCTAGATAAGAATGACAAGAAAGACCTAAATCGATGTCGGAGAATCAAAATTCTCCCCGATAAAAGTCAAAGTTATCTGTTAAAAGATCATTTTCTAGAAGTTTCTAATGGATCAAGCACTTAGGTTGTGATAGAAAAAGCTTGCAGGAATTCGCGTTTAAAATGACTTTGATGACATGATTTTTAAGGAACTGAATATGATTTATGATTGATGTGTGTTTGTTGTTGTTCATTCTCGTAGCGTTGCGGCGTTACTTATTTTCTACATTAAACTGATAATGCCTGGTATAAAATGGCACAATTCTTAGCAGAGTTGTTTCTAGCTGACAAAGTGATAATGACATTATCATAATGTTAATTTACTGCACAAGCTTTCCTGGTGAGTAGTTTTATGGTCCACTAGCCTCCTCTACTGTACCACAGGACCTCTGAACATTAACTTGAGGAGCAACTGATGAAAGAATTACAGGGTTCACAATCTGCAAGGCAATTACTAGTTTTCGATTCATTACCATTTGCCCAGTGATTGAATTTCACCCAGATTAGATAGGTTTGTTTTGAACTTTGTATTTCTATTGCCATGAAAATAAACCAAGTTTGTGGACATAATATATTCCAAAATGTGATCCATTGATTTAAGAATAGTTCCATTTGTGTCATGTGGCAGATTTGGAGATTCTTTTAAGCAGTCGATTTTTTGCAGGCTAAAATAAATCTTTTTTCTGTCCGTAGTGCAATCGCAGAGGTTCGTGGCACAATCAAGTTCCCATTGCCCTTCATTGAGGTTGGTGCTCAGTGCAGGAAGATCATGAATATTTCAATGCACTTCGAAGGAGAGGTTGAATACAATTTTAAAAAAAAAGAGTTCAAACAAGAAATCAAACTGCCAAAGAATATGCGAGAAGCATTTTACACAACCACAGAAGCATTCCAGTACATCAAAACTACGAAGGAGCCAATGCGAAAATTGGACATTGAAGCAGATCAGTTTGGAAAGGTAAGGGTTTTTGCAATCGGGGGTTTGAACTTCAGACTATCAAGCAGTACATTGGCTAGCAGAACTTAAGAATACTGCAAAATGAATTTTCTTGAATCTATAAAATTTCTTATTCAATTTCTAGGTGGAAAAATGTCATTGAAAATGTCAATGCATTGAAGCCTAAATATCGCTGTTGTAAATGAACCTTTTAGATCACCAGTTTTTGAACTATTTCATTGAAATGAAGAAGAGGATTAGTGCTTTTTCTTATCTACTAGGTCCAAATCATCAATGTCACGCAACCCTGTGAAGGCCATTGCAGAGCAGAAGAATGGGTTATTCGAACAACCACTGGCAAGTACTTGTCTGTGCAAGATGGCAAAATCGTCTTGAAACCACAGCCATTCAAGTTCAAGGTTATTTTCCACGGAGTCAACCGAAGAATCATCAGCCTGTATGTACCAGGCCAGGGTTACGTCGTCATGTCAAAGAAGTCGCCATGCTTGTTTGTGAAGCCAACCTCAAATGGGAAATATTTTATTGTAGATTATGAGAACTTGCAAAACACATTGATCAAAGCTCTCGTGCATTTAGAGAAGGTTCCAGAAGGCTGGGGATTGCCATCATCAGATGAAATACAGGAAATTAGAAATGCAGGAAGGCTGTTCATGCAAGAGCAAGTTGTTATCACTGGAGAAGAGTACATTGAAAGAGAACTGGTAAGCTAGCGCTGCTTCCATGTCATCGATGATTGAAATTACCTATTAGAAAAACCTTTTCTTTTTAATGACAATCCTGAGTTGTGTTATTAAGAATTGATAATGCATTTGCTTTTTTGCAGATCGAGCCATCAAAGCAGTATGTGAGAATGGCCTACCTTGCACTGACGGATGCTTCTAAAGTCTGCTTAACTCCCAAGAAACAACAAGCACTGAACTTCACCACTGAACGTCAAACAAATTTCACAACCCTGCTCAACAGATATTCATACTCAAACGTAAGATATTTCATGCATTTATTAATGTATGATACTTTTTAGTATGTTGACATATTTTGTGACCTCTATGGTCGTCTTCGAATGATATCTAACAGTAATTCGTCTTTCTTGAAATCACAGCGCACCTGTATTGGAGTACCATGGGGATTCAATCTTTGCCTTCATGGATATTACCCAGTAAGCATTGCCCGCACTCCAGTAAGCTTCATCTGGACTCCATCGACAATTCGTGTAACATGCAGTCCAGATCGGGAAAACAACGCTCGAGAGATCAAAATGGACGTCACCAGGGTAAGAAATACAGAAACAGAACTAGCATATGGCCTCCTTGTGAGACTGGAGGGTACGACTAAAATCGTTAGGGGTGCAGCCACTTGGTACAAAAAAGAAAAACGAATAAAGATGCGCGTGACACCTTCGGATCCAATGCTTTTAAGAATGTCAAAGTTGTGCTATGATGAACATTTAAAACCAGACAATTATTCATTGAGAATAAGTGTCAACGACAAAGAGTGCAAAAGAGTCAACTTAGAGGTAAGTCACTAAATCGGCAAAAATCCATTACTGAAATGTTGCTTGTGTCATTTTCACACGAATTGCCTTGTTTATTTTCCTACGTTCTTAGATCTGCTTAAACTTAGGAATCCTTTCCATACGCAGCTTTTAACAAATACAGAAGATGTAATTGGAAGTTGTAGCTAAACATCAATAGGTCTTCTCTCATCAAGGTCATTGGCCCTGCTACCGATTCTTAAAAGCGAAGAATTTTTTCAGTACACTTTACCTTTTTTGAAATTGTCTTTCTTGAGAAAGAATATTTCAACATAAAATATGCTCTTAGGAAAACTTTTTCAAATTGATTCTTTATCTACAATCAAGGCTGACTTCTTGGCACCAAAACAACAACCACGTCACCAAATGGCTTTCAGATTGAAATACACTACAGAGGGCCTACCAAGTTTCTGGCGACAAGCTTTGTGGTATACTGACCTCTTTGTTGTGAGACCAATCCTGAGATATTCCAGTGACTACTGGTACAGCAACATGGCGGGATATCAGAAGTTGACCCAATGGAACTTCGACGCCACCATCGATGGCACAGCCTACTTGCAATACCTGCTTACCAGCAATGATACTGTGACACGGAAAATCGTCTCACCATCTGAAGTTTGGGTGTGGGAGAATATCAAAGCGACAAGATATATGTCTTCATTTCCAAAAGGATCGAAGCAAATTTCCCTTTTATTCAAGTTTTACTGGGTCAAAGGCAAAGGTAGAGAAAAAAATGCCTTCCTAAATATTCCACAGTTCTCTATTATCTCTAGAGCAAATTCTAGTGAAACTCCTTCCACCAATTCTTCTCTTGGTTAGTTAAATATCTCTTTGTCATGTCCTTTTCAAGGATTGTGACTCGAATCAGGTTCAAGCGAAACGTCATAAAACGTCATCCAATGTAAGCTCGCTTATGTTTTACAAACTTTGACTACAATAAAAGTGACATCTCATTTCTTCTCGTTTTTAATCAACAATGTGGCGTTGGTTTGGCCAACTCATAAGACATTCTCTTGGACTACTGCGCAGTAAGTTAAAACACGTTAAATTGAACGTTGTAAATCGCACATATATATGACAAAAAATACACCCCCGTGCCCCCGCAGCGCGCTTAAACCTCACCAGTACTTTAATAGTTGCTTGATTCCTTTGGGAAAGGTTTACATAATTTTGTCTCCGATACATATGATATTCATCTTTGCAGAAGGCTTCTTGGTTCTCGCATATTCTATGATTTTTATATAGTAATCATGCACAGCTCACTCTTATTTTCCGCAGTTATTTATTGAGTTTTAAACATGGCACCCAGAATTAATAAGCAAATGGTCAAGCTATTCATTTAAATACTATACTCGCAAGACAAAGAAATAGAATTGCAAGGAATGAGTTCCGGGTACATCCAAGTTTCCAAGTTTTCGTTGCATCAAACACCACACACAACGCAATTTCTTATCGTCAGCTATGCAGTAAAACAAAATGCAGTAAAGCAAAAGTTCTTATGACCATGACAGTCTTCGATATATTGACAATAGAGTTGTTAGGCATGTAAGATAGGTTATTTCTGTTCATCATTTTGCCCATTACTTTCTACATCAAATCCTTTCATAGAATGATATTTTCAAATCCTTTTGTGGGTATTAGATTAACATTAATTACATCTTAAAGACATGGGATCTCGTTATGTCATTTTATGTCACAATACATCATATCATGTCACATTACGTCATATTATGTCACATTACGTCATATTATGTCACATTACGTCATATTATGTCACATTACGTCATATTATGTCACATTACGTCATATTATGTCACACTTCCCTATGAGATGTTACTAGTCAACAAGGTTTTACAAACAATAGCATAGCAACACGTGGATATCACGTGCATATGCATATTCATCAACTTTAACAAACCTCCTTGGCGGAAAATGGCTCTACATATCATTTTGTCCTTACAGTAATGTGCAGACATTGGAATTCTACTTTTGGAACACTGGACAAAAAAGTTTTCCATTACGACATGAGAGGAATGTGTGATCATATCCTGCTCCGCAGCTGCTTCAAAAACATGACACAGCTCATGGTCATGACAAGAAAATTGACAGATCAGCCGACATCTATCCAGAGAGTTTTAACAACATTGATTGAAGAATATGAAATTACCTTCATTCCAAAGATGAAGAGCTTTGAACAACCTACAATTAAAGTTTGTTTGAAATTACCATAAACTTTCTTTCCCACTACACCAAGATAACGATTTGATGGTCACTCTAATTCCGCTTGAAAATTTCTTTTAGAAAGCAAAATTTTGTAAACAAGTTCAAAAGAGCGATGTCCCCTTCCTGCCACACCCACACACCTATAACTATTTGAACAGTCTCTTATAGTGCCTTTATATCTTAATTTTTTTCCATCGTATTTTAATGTCATTCTTTCTCGAAGAATCTCCCGTTAATCAAGGAATGCACAAATATCAACAATTTTTCATAGCAGCATCAACAATTTTTCATAGCAGCCTATATAACACCTAACCCCTTTTTCAATTAGCTAAACTAAACGGAGAAAAACTTTTCAAACACCATTTCGAAAGAAAATTGGAAAAATTTTCCTCCAAATTTCATCAAGAGAGGCATTGAAATAGATTTTTAAAATGAGGATTTAGCATAGATAAAAAGTTTTACTTACATCTTCAAAATTTTTATCAGAGCAAAAAAACAGATACACCTGGTCTCCAATACATGAACGTCTTTTCTTTGATGCAGATTAACGGAAAGACAACGACTTTGAAGGATGGCAAGCTCGAAATCTGGAAACAGAAAAAGCCATGTATTTACATATTCTGGGAACCTGAAATAGCAATAGTCACCTTGTGGCACGTACCAACCAAGTTATCTGTCGCACTTGTCAAAGGCTACAAGGTATTCATCTCCTTTAGATTCTCGTTAAAGATGTTTGTATACTCTTATCACAGCTTTTGGTCACTTTTTAAGACACTAGATTTGGAAAGTAAGCAAGAGACAGCTTGCATCAAGGAAACAGAAACAAAAATTATATCAGGAAAACATCTTTTTCTTGGAGAATAGGATATTGGCACAACATATTCGCTGATATAGCTGTTAGCCATTTTTCTGACTATGTGTTGAAGCTTTACTCTCTATATGGTAAAAAGATTAGGCAAGTCAAGTTTACTTAAATTGTTTCACTGAAGGTACGCACTTCAGTTGGGTCGTCGTTATTTGGCAAAGTTTGTGGACTCTGCGGAAATTTCAACGGAGAGCAAAGGTTTGAGTTCAGAACACCAGAAGGAGAGCTTATCCGTGACGTACAGCGACCAAAACTGTACGATCCAGAGCTTGCATTCTATGAAGAACGCCACTTTGGAAACAGCTGGATTGTCCCAGGAAGAAAATGCGCCAAGGGAGGTACGGTACATTTTCCTATATGCCTATTGCTTTTATATCTTATATTTTGTATTGCCTGATGTTTTGGTTTTTTAAAACAGCAACTCGTTTGCGTCTCAGTTACTCTTTCAATATCTTTTCGTGCCCTTTCATAGAATGCAACTTCAGACGTGAATTCATCAAGGTTGAGCAACAGAACAAGTACTGCCTGACCAAAATAAGAGTGCCCCAATGCCAGACCAAATGCACCATAAAAACAAAGGAAGACCTGAAAGCTCCAGTTATCTGTGTTGCAAAGAATGAATCTTCACAACTGCACAGTCAGCTGGTGTCAGGACAGCCACTTACACTGGCCACTGCCACTGACCACTTGTTGCCAGTCAGTCTGCCAATTGAGTGCAACTGCCCTTGCAAAAACAGGTAAACTCTTTAAAATGGAGTCGACTGTGTTTGTCTCAACTTTTAAACGATGATAATAAAAAAATTCCTTTTAAAATGTACTGCTTGTAATTGTTTTTAGCTGACTGTTATACTGCTTTTGAAAAGTAAAATATTTCAATTGATTGAAGCTACAATTAGCCCTAAGATTACCATAATCTGCAGGAAATGAACATGCAAAACGACCAGTCAACTATCGTTGATAAGAGCTTCTGGACTTTTAGAAGAATTTTTCACTTTTCCAAATGTATACCAGGCGTTTGAACAGGTTCTCTTCACTTCATCCGCATTAATGAATCTGAATAATTTGAAATATTGAAAAAAATTTGGCAACGAAAGGGAGGACCTGTTAGCTCAGTTAACACATCATTTCTAAAAACTTGTAGATACCAACAAAAAAAGAAATAGCATATAGATCCACTCTGTTATTTGCTGCAAATCTAATAAAGAGGTAAATAAGTAGGAAATTCTTGCAAGGGCAAAAAGATATCGTTAGCCTAAGCATTTTGAATTAAGTCATTTTGTATTTCCAAGTACCTTTACTTAGATGTTAGGTAACAGTGGTATGTTCTTTCCTTTGACAGTGATGCTTATGCTTTTGAAGATCATCAAGGCTAATGCATAATGGAACATGAAGAAGAACTGCAGGCGTTTTTGTATACGATATTTTAATTTATAGTTGAAAGTTGCAAGATTGTGAAGACAATTCGGATTTAGATTTAATAACAGCAAATAAACTGTTTTTGATTGATTGATATTTCTACAATTTATGAAAAGTCTCTGCGTGCTAGCTGCCTCTGTGTATCTATCCAAAGTAACTATAATGCTACAAATCTCTACTGGTAGAATAATACCAGTAGTATTTCTTGCCATTCAGATGTAAGGAACTAGTTCTTGTTTAACAAAACAAGACTCTGACATCTGAGGCTTTTTCCAGTCAATTGAGATCATCTTAGCACATCCTTCCCAACAGCAAACAAAACAGGATGCCATTTGCAGGAAACAGTGCATCCTTTTTAAACACTGAACCAATTGGATGAGCTTTGTTTAGTTTTAGGTTGTTAGTAAACATCTGAATGGCTGATGCGAAACTCCTGATTTTTTCCAAAAAAACTTTGCATAACTCAAACTTTTATTAACTTGAATATTTTCAATGGGCCCTTGGAGGTTAAGTTATCGGGAGTTAACTGTAATAGGCAATTCCAAAATATTCTAATTACTTGGAACAGAACCCCACGGGGAAAGGCTTTAGTGTATATTCCCGTATTACAATGAAATAGCTCTTCAAGGTTGTAATAGAATAAAGACTTTTACCAGAATTTGACAAAACAAGTGAAAATGGCAAAGCTAAATGGTAACTAAGCTCCGAGGGTCTAAAAGTCCTGATTGATTAAAAGCATTTGGTCCTTTCTTTCACCTTGTATTTCACCTTGTGTTTGTATGGAGACATGAAATGTTAAGCAAATCTTTAGTATATATCTTCAGTGCTATTTGTCAACTTTGTTAATTTGTTCCATAGTGTTGACTCAAGTCTCACATAAGATGAGGTGAGCTGTGAATAGTTGTGTAACTAGTTATTGTAGAAAGGCAAGAGATTAATGCCAACAGAATAGCAATAAGTAAATTGAGGAAGGAATATAGTCTGAAAATGGAAAATACAACAAAATCCTTACTATAAGGCATGTATTTACAAGATAAGTACAAAAGATTACATTTTCTCTCACAAAAATAATGTTTCTTTCTTAAAAAATAACTTTTTTATTGGAAATATTATTTCTATAACAGTGCTATTCAAGGAGGATGACCCAGATGAATTTGCACACATCTTCTGTTTTCTCTTTTTAGTTTTGATATCATTGTTACTTGTCCATGGAATATTCCTAAATTAGTTCAGTTCTTCCTTTTTATGGGATGTTCAGGGAAATCAACTGCAGAGTTATTTTTAACTATGCACCAAGAGTTCAGTTAAATATGATGGATAAAACAGTCAATACCATTGGAATAGTTGGAAAGTCTACTTATCAAAATAGAAATTGACAACAACATAATAAATGCCAAACCTGGCATATTGGGGAAACCTTTTAATGAGAGATAACCGCTATAATGGGGACATATACCTTGACAATTTAACATTTATGTGTTATGTGTCTCATAAATTACAATCAGTTAACAGTAAAAAACCATTATTGAACAACCTATTCCGTTCTTGAAAAATATATTTCCAGTAGCTTTAATATCTTTCTGGCATCCTCTTTACTTTTGAAGTTTGCCATAGCCTTTTCAGCATCCTCATCTGTAATGATACCAGATTTCTTCAAAGATGGTAAAATTTTATCAACCATTTCATGCTCACTGAATTCTGGATGGCTTTGAATACTAATAATATCATCACCAATTGATACAATTTCGAAATTGCTGGTGTCAGAAGTTGCTAGATGCTCAGCCATAGGGGCAAGTGCTGTCACACTGTCTCCATGACTTTCAAAAAGCGAGTATGAAATTTTACTGTCTTCATTAACTAATCCTTTGAAAAATGGATGCTTTTGTGCATTATGATTAAGTTTTATATCTTCCATATTCCACACAAACTTCCCATGGGGATTGTGGCCTACTGTTCCTCCAAGTGCCTTGTTCACAGCTTGGTGAGAGAAGCAGACTGCAAAAACTCTTGGTGGCTTGCTGTTGTTCTTTTGAAAGCGCACTAGTTCCCTTATCCACTCTTCATATTTTGAAATCCACTCAAGAGGCTCGTATGCAGAGTAATGTGAGCCCGTTAAAATGAATCCATCAAAATTTTGAAGCTCATCTAGTTTAGGTAAAAGGCCTGTAACTGCATCAAAGTATGCCCAGTCAATACTAGGGCTTTCCCAGGCTGAAAAAATATCACGATGGCTTTTATCGGTGGCAACAGGCATGTCTACCAAACTATCTTTACTCTGTCCCTGACGTGGCCTCCCAAATCCTCGTGCTTCGAAGATCTCCGCACACAACTGGTTGCAATCAGCTCCACGCCACTTCGGGAGGTCTTCACACCCAACCATTCCCACTCGAATAGAACGGCCTTTGCTGTACTCCTCCATCTCAATGCTTGTAGCAGATGTAATAGATGAATTCGTTTGGTGTCTTGTTTACTTTCCTCAAAGCAAAGATCAAAATCTCAAGTCGCTCCAATTCGAGGTTACCATAAGAAACATAAGGTATAGTTGTTGTTGCTACCGTTCTCATGTGGAATGTTAAGTCTTGTGATCGGGCAGAAGGGAAGATGCACAAAATATTATTGTCCTGCATTGCCTTACTCGTTCCTTATGTACAATGCTATTGCACATCAAGAACCTTGACTGCATCAACCTGGGCATCAACGATAACACAAAATAGCTATGGTAGTAACGAAGATTGCACTTTCACGATTGTCCCGTCGCCGCATAGTCAACATCTCAGTCGATCAAATGACGCATACTTTTTGGAAATTTCTTGGTCCACATTCAATGTCAGAGGGGATATGCCTGACTGCAAAGCTTCATACGTTGAAGTATTTCTTACAAAGTATTGTTTTAAAGCTTTTTCATCAACATCAAATATCACCTTTACTTGACCTACAATGCCTGCCAAAAGTCTTGGAACACTGACATCAATTTCCAAGGTCAAAATCAATCACCCCCCTCTCCTCTACAGAACAATGTTGGTTTACTATCAAACGGGTTAGGATTTTAGGAAGCACTTTCTTTTGTGCTTCTTCTATGATATTTCTCTAAATTATCAACATTGTTTTAGGGGGAAGAGGGCGGATGTAGCAACTTTTTTTCATTAAAGGAATGAAAGATATCAAATACAGCGTAAATTGCTGGGTGTTCCAAGTACTTTTGCAGGCATTGTATCTCAAAAAAGAGGTTCACACTTTACAGGAGTGTGATAAACATGTAACTTTTATTTAGGTTATACAAAGAATGGGTTTAGCTACATATATTATAGAAGGGTTAGGGGTCCAAATGTCAGACAGCCTCCACCTATTTCCCTGTGATCAGGGTCCTGCCTTCTTTTGCTTCACACTATGAATTGAGTCATCATTAATAGCAAGAAAGAGAGAATATTGCCAATTTTTTACACAAAAGAGAAGCTGGCACAGCTGCAGGAGTGGGATTGGGGGCATTATCTTTCATGCTGCCATTATCTTTCATGCTGCCAGTAGGCTTTTTTCCAAGGAAAAGTCATAAAAATTGCCTTAGAAGCATTTAGAAGACTATTAACTCCCTTTCCTAATGGCCCTACAAGTCCACTCATGCTGGTAGGGTTTGGGTCAGGATCAATGTCCTAAAGTTACACTTGTGCATAAATGCCCTTTGTACTTTATTTGCAAATTTGTAAACTCAAAACAAAAGAAGTTGGATTATGAACACTGTTTTGTTCCACCAAGATCCAAAGAGCATCACAATAGCAGCTATGGTTGAATCAAATTACTTAGGGCTAGTTTTGATGAGCCCTAAAATTATGCATTCTTTGCAGAAATTTTTAACAGGCTATTAAAACATGCCTACCAAGCAATGTTAAGTCAAAGAAAAAGTCATCAGTGTTCATTTTTTATTCTAGATCCTACAAGTCAATTGGAAAATTTTGCTCAAAGAACTTAATAGATTATTCCTTGTTTACCATGTACTCATATGATGGATATGCAAAACTTAAATTCCACTCATCTGACAGTGGAAACAATGGTTTCTCAGCACAGTACCGTCTACGATCAAGCACTCTAAGTGGTTTTGGAGATTGTAGTTCGTAAGTCAACTTCATACATAACCATACATTATCACTCACATAACCATAGTGATGATAGACACTTTCAATCATAAATATACTAAAATGCCTGCGGTACAATATGAAAAATTAAATTTTAAAAAAAATTTTCCTGGTACAATTTACTTACATTGATCATTATTTACTTTCAATCATAACTTTGTTAGTAAGTTATTTAAGTAACATAAATTGTTAGATCGAAGTCATATATTTTGTAGCCATGTTAATGTTGTAGTCTTTTTCCAAAATCTTATACAGTTTATGATTTTAGGGTAATCTTCTCCTCTCACCCCTTAGTTCATGACTGTTTTGAAAAAATTTCTAAATTTTTCTTAGCTTTTTTCCTGTTTGAAGATAGACCATTGGTTATATAGCATTGGTTGTATACTTGTGTTTTCATTCCCAGAATTTTTTAAATCTTTTCAAATTAACCAATAGTTGAACATTATTGAAATATAATTTTTCATTTTCCAGGCAATACTTGTACATGGATTCAGATAATTTTTATACTTCAGGCTGGCCTGAAAACTATGAAAAGGATGGCACTTGTACTTTTGAAATAAGTGCCAGGGGAACCAAAAAACTTATCTTTATGGATTTAGATCTGAGAAAGGCCCCAATATTCGGCTGCAGCAGATATACTTCTGATTATATTGAAATACGAGGTAGGTGTCTCCAGTTATCAATTGTGGTTTACAAACATGCAATGCTGACAATGTGTCAATATAATGCATCAGAAATATTTCCAAAAATGTGCCAGATAAGGTATAAAACACTGACCACAGAATGGTCTGATGGTGAATTCTTGACAAATCATACGTTGCAGTCTTTTTAAAGCAACCAACCAGAACTGAGCTATAGTGGATATTCTGAATAATAGTCAGTGTGAATAATTGCACTGAAAAAGGCATTAAGACAATTAAATCCCTGCCTGAATTTTTAGCATGAGCTTTATTGAAGCTATGGTCAGGCTAGAAAATCTAGTCTATCATAAAGACTATCATAGAGCCACACTAGACATTGTTCATGTTTGCTAGGTTTGTTCCCGGCTATCACCGACACTAGGCCAGGGGCTTCCACATAGGTTAAAAAGTAGGCAGTCAAAATATTTTACAAAAAGATCTATTGTTTTGCCAAAAGAGGGGACCATATGGCCTTATCGGATGCTGTGTAGGCTGAAGTTTTTTAATCAGAAATTGAAGTTCTATAGACAGTTAAATGTGCAACTTTTTTGGCTAAGTGGAATAAAGCAAATACAGAAACATTATGTTGTTGTTATATCGTAAGAAGGTTAAAATTTTAGGGAACCTTTATATTGTTACTGTTTGTTTTAAATAGTAAAAGTTTTCTAGACCTTTTAGGTCTTGTTCATATGGGAAAAAGTTTCCCCTGCATTTTCCTGGTGAAGCAGGTTTCCCATTAAGCTGAGACCCTGCCACATATAGCCTTTCTAGACGTAATAGCATGAGTGCTCACATGAGAAAACATTTTCTGGCTAACTGAGATCTCATTTTAGCACTGCCAGGATCCTGCCTGGGCAAGGAAATGTTATTCCAATATGAACAGATTTTCCCAGCAAAGCAGGGAAAGAGATTTCATTTGCACATACACAGTCCTTCACACTTGTCATTCAGAATCGCTTCAAAATTATCCAGAATGGCTTATCAAGGCAGCAAACTATCTGCATGTAAAAGGTCTATTATAATTATTTTCCTGGCTAATCATGATTTCTGCTTCACCAGGAAAAGACTGGGGAACCTTTCTCCCTATGATCAGACTCTAAGTCAGGGACACCAGAGGGACCAAGGGGCAAGGGTGCAGGGTTGAGTAAAAGTGCATTTGAAAGATAATTTCCCAGCTACTAACACTTATTCATGACTGGTATTCAATCTTTTGTATGTATCTTAAAAATTGGCAAACTTTTGGCATTAGAACTTTTTTCAAGTTTGGAGAAATTTGGTCATAAGACAGTACAGTTGGAATTTTGTATGAATCTCTTTGATGATAATAAAAGGCCCTTGTCAATTGCCTTTTTTTGATTTGGGCACTTTGGTCCCCCTTGCCCCTTGTATCAAAAGACAACCGGGGCCATTGACCTCTTACACCCCCCCTCCTCTAGCATCCCTGCTTTAAGTTGATACTTATAAGTATCTGTTAATAACACAAAGTGACTTTGCAAATGGTTGCCTAATCTTTGCATAGTGATGTTTCATTTACTGCTCATTTGATGTTTTTTGAAGGTGCTGAATCAAGTAGTGTGGGCTATGATAGTGCTACAGTGCTGAAAGGCCCAATTTGTGGTACCAGCAACGTTGTTACTTACACAACAAGCCAGAACACAGTGTATGTTAAGTTAAAGCGATATGACTACTCATCAAATAAAAGAGGAATTGTTGCTGGTTATTTGACTTATAATGAAGGTAATTGTTTTTCTTTGCAAACCTTTCAATTTTATCAGAACTATTTCACTTGTATTTAGCTATATGATCATGATCATATACATTTGGTGAAGGCAAGTTTTTTGTTAATTAGCTATGTGGGCAATGCTTTTCTGTCTGTTGATGTTGAATTAGCTTTAAGCCCTGTTTAACTGTTTATTGTTGAAGTGTTGGTCTGTTGGTTGTTACCTTGCATTATAACCTGGTTATTTTACAGAAACTTTATGTAGAACATTGTAATTAACTATATTGTAGTGCGTTAGATAGAGACAATTACTTTCTAGCAGTCCTGAACTTGCTTTCCTTCCATTGATTTCATGAACTTTGTCATCAATTTTGTTATATAGTTTACAATTGTTTGTACAAATTTGTAACTCACTCTCGACTATGTTTGCTTTAGAATGTCTCCATTGTGAAGCAATATTTATGTATATGTTTGTATATCACATATCTCGACCTTTGTAGGGCAAGACTCCTCCCAAGCATTCGTCATTACAGCCATTATATCTGTGACAGTTGGCCTTATACTGATAATTTCCATTGCTTCTGTAATTGCCTGCTGCATATGCAAACATAACAGAAAAAAACAACAAGAAAGACAGCATATCTTTGCCACTGCTGGAGAAACAGTAGGTTATGGCAATGTGTGTCATGTTGAGCCTCATGGCTACATGGGAGCTCCAGCGTATACAAACTCCGAAATGCCACCACCATATACTGAAGCTGTATCAACACCTTATCAACAAGCTCCAACTCATGGTAATCATATATTGCATTGCATCTTCATTCTATCAATATTGCATATTTACAATATTTGATTAATAGTGCCCTTTCCTTTCCATTTGATTACACTTTCAATATGCCTCTTGATATTGAACACATTGATTATGATGTAAAAACGATGGTGATGTAGTTAATTATAAGCGTAAGGATTAATTTGATAAAAAGACTATGATTTCAAATTTATGTGCTTGATTTCATTTTAGTGGACAGCCAACTGCCACCTGAAGTTAACCCTGCTATGACACATCTAAGTGATTGCATTTGTTCATTGAATCTTGGTCATGTCATAATATGGCTGAATATTTTCTTTTTCATTAGAAAAATTTTCTTACAGTTTATTACTGGCTTCCTGAATAACAATAAAATGCGTTTAAGCTTTCGAGGCTGCATTGCTGTATTCAACCAAGGCATAGTGTTGCGAAGGGTTGGTAACCCTACATGTCTCAGTCTAATAAATGATGCTGGAATTGAGTTAAGTTCGACTTTTGTTGTAATCCCGTAATCAGAAAGCAGGCCCGTAATCAGAATGACGAAAGATTTTTGTTCCTGGGTTAGATTACTTTGTCACAATCTTAAAATCAGTCCTTGCTCTCGCAAATTCATTAGAAAAAATCTACATGATCAAGTTTAATGAAACATATGTTAAATGTGACCTTGTACATTGACAGGACATTTCTAAATTAACTCTCACAGGCTCAGTGCTACAGTTTTGAGTTATTTGTACTCTTCATTCAAGGATTAATTAAAAGGAGAAAATTTGTTATTTATAAGTTTTGTTGTTGTAATGGTTGCTTTCTTTTTGTAATAAAAATGTTGATTTTAGAAAATAGATTTTGTATAAATTTATCATATAGAGTTATTCGCAAATTACACCATATAAATGATGATATCATTTTTTGTGTCATAACCCTCTTTCTTTCTTGGTAAATTGCATTCTATGAATGTAAAGAAATATTTTATATCATGATGTCAGTTTGAAGGAAACCCATGATTGGGGCGAAGCCAAACAAATTTTAAGGGTATAGAAATGATTTTTGCCCATAGAAAATTGTGTCCCACTCTTTAAGGGTGTGGTCATTAGTTAAATAATGCTGAATTCATGTGTTTTCATTTCAAAATTCACTCTTTAGTGCAATACTTTGAAAGTTCAACTGCTACAGAAATGTTAATACGCTATTGTTGCAAAAAGGCTAAAATTATACAACTTCGGGAGAAAATTTGTTTTCCTTGTCCCGACAAATAATCCCTTGTGTGCTGATGAACGAAGTTTCAGGGGGGTTACAGCGCCCCGCCCCCTTTTGGTGACTGCCACGTATTGATCCTATAACAGTGCTATCATAAAAAAAATTTGGAAACATTAAGGAGAAGAAATTTTCTGTACTGCCTGTTTTCAAATCACAGGTATATACTACTGGGTAGAACTGACCCTTAAATCAATGAAAGCTCCAAAGATCAATGGTACGGGGTTGTGCCATTTGTCATTAGAAGTTCAGAAATTTTGGGTGTGCTTTTTAGAAATCTCGGGCAGAAACTGCTTTGCTCTGGTGAGGTGATGAAGCTGATGGAAACTACGCTGTTTTTCTTGACACCATACAATGCCAAGATGGGGGGGGGGAGGACATTTGCAAGGCGGATATTGATAACGACACGACAAAGATGTATATCTGTAGAATCGAATATTCTCAATAAATAGATAACGAAATGCTTGTCACTTTACACATTTTGCTCTAAGGAGAATGAACATGAATTGAATCTTGAGAATGCAAACTACTATCTTTATACTTACAGGTTCTCAGGGGTGCAGGTTTGAAGAGTTCTTGGCACTCCCGTCAGGCACTATTCAGAGTATAAAACGTGAGAAGAACTATGAAGTAAACCATTTTGGAATGAAAAGAGCCAGTCACAAAAAAGCACTCTATGACTATTATTCTGTCTGATCAACTAATCATATGCGCATGCAAATGTCATGAATTCCAATATTCTGAAGGGCGCTGTCTGTGAAAACCTTCCAACGGACAGCCCACATACCCTCTGTGGTGTTTCATTTGCCTCCTAACGGGGGCTTGAAGTCGGTACAAATATAATATAGACGTAAGTGTAATGGTCGGTCATAAGATCTTTTATCGAGTTTCGGATAGACCAATGTTTCATTGAGAAAAAATGGTTTTTTTCATTCAGTTGTCTTGAATTTGTCTACATCAAAGCAAAAATCCTCTGTTGTTTAGACAAAAATTTCCTTTTCTCTCGCGTTTTGCGGCCGCAGTTTGGAAAGAACCAATCAAACGCGTTCTCCTTTTTCTCGCGTTGCTATCATGGCCGCCGAGAGAGGGGTCAAGGGGGGGGGGGCAAATTTCCCCAGGGCCTCTTAAAGGAATGAATTCCATTTTTAAAAGCAAAAGTATGCCTAAAAACAGTAAAGCGTTTTAAACCACTGCAAGAAATACATTTTGAGCTACTGTGAAGGGCATGGTCACATAAAATTTTGGGGCCTTGTCTTTCGCTTTTGCTTCAGGGTCCCCAAAGTCTCTCGGTGGCCCTGCCCTACATATTGGTTCAATGATGTAAGTGCCATGGTGCTTGTTCATTAATCGAGTATCAATTTTCAAAGTGAAATTAAGAAAAATGTCTTTCTAATCTAAAAAATCGAGTTGCAGTTGTTTGTTTCGGCCATGCTGGTCAAGCCGGTTTTTAAATGCTGATCAAATGAAATTTTACCAGAGTTAATTCCACAAGAGATGTTGTAGCATTTGGTTTTCTAGGGGGTCATTATTTTTATCCTAATTTGCTTTACCCTATGTGTGTCAATCATCATGCTTTCAATGCATTCGGGAAAATAGGGTAGTAGGAGTTCTGTAGTTTGGGTTTTCATTCAGTAGAGGTGGTCCTTTGGCTCTGATTAAGGTATTAAAGCTTTCGAGTAAGCGTTTTGTGAACTTCTTGCGCTTGTTGGGCAATAGATGCTTTGAAAAATGCTGACCAACAAAATTTTTATCAGGGTTCATTTCACGAGGGATGTTGTAGTATTGCTTTGAATCGGACTTAATGAACTTGTTCGGTATGCTGTTTCTACACTGCTCTATTTTCCCGTGCCTCCCTCCTTTTTGATATCAAGCATAGTATGTTGCTTCAAATCCTTGTCAATTATTTTGTTCTTTTAGTGGTTAGGGCCTATCTACAGTACAGTATACTTTAAAAAGTTTCTGCTGTTTTTTATTAAAAGATGGATCCGGCTCTTAATTCTGACTTTAAATCATTCAAACCTTTTCATACCTTAGGTATCTAAGGTAGGACTGGTGCATCGGCTCCCTTGGGGAAAAATTGAACATTTCTTGTCCATTCCCTGCCCAGAACTTAAAAATGATTGCACTTGCGTTCAACAAGCTAAATCACTTGTACGGATGAAGCAACGGCTTAATGTCGAACAGGAAAGAAATTAAATGTGTTCAAATTAAGGGTCTGAACTACAGATGGTAGCGCCCAAAGGGGTTCAACCGAGGCAGTGGCCAGGAGTGGGTGCTCAAAATTAAGATGTCTTTTTTAACGATAATGCATGCATCATTCCAGGTAAGGCTTTTTCCCGTAAGGTCCCCAAAAGTCCTGAAAATAAATATTAAAAGATTTGGAATTAATTCTGTGTTTTTTTTATTTAAAACATCTTTTCGACGATCTTGAACCCAGGCTAGCAAAGTTGGTCCAAGGAATAATTGCTTACTGAATGACTTGCCTCTACTGGGGGGCATTGAAAGTGATGTTGCTAAAAAGATTGACTTCTGTAAATGTTTTGACAAATTAATGCGTAACAGTTTGAATAAAATATAGCAAGGAGAAAGGGGCTCAGAAGTTGACCCACTTTTAATTGCCACGTAGCTAATTTGTTTGTCATGATTTGTAAAACAGCATTTCTACCTATTTTGTATAAATATAACTCAAGCAAGAAGGTTTGAAAGAAAGCTTTAGAAAATATAAACATTTTAACGACGTTACAAAGTAACGTGTAAAGCCCATCTTAGCATTTAATTTCAGAACAAGGGCGTTTACAGAAAAGAAAACAGGGCATGGCCGTTGACACTTTATACCCCTTTGGCGCAAATTGATGGCCCGTCAGGTCTTTCGCCCCGAGGCCCGTCTCGCATAGCGGCGGCCCTTACTGCAGATACAAATCTGGATAAAAATTTGAGTAAAGAGGAATTAAGTTGCTAAGTATTAATGTTTTGGACTTGCTTTAAGCTTTGTTCTTTCCAATAAGGCTTTTAAAAGTAAGCGTCAAGAACGATTCAGCTATCAGACCTTATATCTTTGAAGGTATGTCAGAATAGAAACATCATGAACACGGACGAATACTTGTAACTCATTCCACACGCCAGGCTCAACTGTCAGCAATAAATTCAGAAACACCGCAGTAATTTTCGGATACAATCTAGTTATTGAAGCCAAAAACAATTTTACTGAATTTACAACTATGAGTGGGTACACAAAAAATGGGGGAACTGAAATTCTACTCACCAGTCAAGACTGTTTTGGAACGAAGCTATCGGTGTTACAGGTGTGGGGTCCCTCAATGCAAATCGCCTTGCTCCACCGGGAACTAGCCGTCCCACGGTCGTGCATTCGTTCACTGTTTTGATTATGAACTTGGATAATCTTTGAATTCATATTGTGCAGCAGCGAAACTTGGCCTAATAGCGATTTCGAAAGCTAGCGCTACTCAGAGCATCTGTTTGCAATGTCACTTAATGGAAACTTGAATGGTAACACACAATACCAAAGGGACCAAGATTTCATGCATACCTCTGAAAATTTTTTCCCAAGAGGGTAATGCAAGCTTTTGTTTTGAATAGAGGAACAAAGCAACTTGCTTATCATGGACAACCTTTTTCTTCATTTTTTAGCTGTACGAAGGCCCTACTAATTTATGACATGTATTTATGTTCAAGACCAAAACCTCTCACAAGTAAAATGTATATTATAATTGTTGCTTGGCATATACTATTTAAAGGGAAAGGTTAAAACTATTGGTGAAAACATCTACTTAAAAAAGGATACTCAGTCAGCCTGTCTGTTTAGTAGTTTAGGAAGCTGTTTTTCCCAACCAGTTTACTTGTTCACTAATGCTTTATCCAATTGATACAGCAAGGGCTTTAAAGATATTGTCAATATATCTAGCTTAGAGCAGCAGGGACCGTACCCTGTGTGGATGAAAGAATTCCTCTTCGCAATTCCCCTGCCAATTTCTCAATTCCCTTGCCAAATTCACAATTCCTCTGCCAATTTCTAAAATTCCTCCCCAATTTCTCTATCCCCTCTCAATTTCTTGGGGTCTTGCACTCTGTGCCCGAACAATCCTTTGTTATAGCCTCTGTATAGTTAAAATTTGTATCCCTCTTGAGGGTGGGGCACAAGTCCCCCCAATCGGGAAAAAGGAGTAAGGCCTAGGCAAAAGGGCAGGAAAACTATCAAATGTGCCTGGTTAGAATATATTTAATAAGGAAAAATATTTCCTCTGCCCAGTAGCATAGTGAGGGGGGAGCAAGAAGGGGACACCCCCCAACAATGGCAAGAGATCTCTTTGAAAAATGATGTTTTCTGGCGTCCTCCTCCCCCCCCCCTAATCTTACTTCCCTGGCTATGCTACTGCTCCTGCTGACTGAAGGCAATAGATGGTCGCGATCACTAGTCCCATGCGATAGGTCTCCCCCCTCCCCCGAATGTGGCTCATTTCTATGCAGCCTCTTGTAAGGAAATGCCAGCCTCTATATCATCATACATCACAACAAAATTTTGTCAAATTCCTCGAAAATACAAGAGAATGATTTTGGAAGTGGATAAATAGAGCAGAAAATAAAATATATTTTGTAATGTGATGCCCATATTTAGAATGGAAAGGATTCTTGCAGATGATTTTTTCACGAAGCCGATAAATGGGGCACATTTTCATAACAGGAGAGCAGAACTGCTGGAAGAAAGGGGTGACGTGTTGTTTGCCATTGAACACCACGAGTCTGCGATAAAGCTTTTGCAAATGGCCATCGATACTGGTATCTATGACAAGCAAGCAAAATTATCCTTGAGACTCCAGGTCTCGAACCACAGAGGTCGTGTTAGATTGTTACAAGCACAAATAGAAAATAAGGTGCCATGTTGAATGTGATGATCTTTTGAATGTGCTTGTTATTGTGTGATCTTGAAGGATAATCCTCTAAGTTTGAAGTAGTTTAGCGTCGCCATAATTGAGTAACCTAGTGTCTTCTTTATACCACGAGAGACATATTTAGCAGTAGCTTAAGTTTGTGTCAATGTTACAATAATCATCTGTTCAAAATCTTGCCCGGCAAAACTACCCAGATGCTTTTATTTCCTAACGTGTTACCACCTTAAAAGTTAACCCCTTTGAAAACTGCCTCAGAATACAGAATGAACATAGATAAAATCCAGCACAAATTAACAAATATTATTTGTGGAACTGAATGATTATACTTTCAAGTCCAAGAGAACAGAGATATTACATTTGTGAATCAAACACCTAATATAGCTTTGGTGACTTGGTAGCTCTGAAATATTGTGTTGAAAAATTCTGAATTCTCACTCAAAGTAGCTTAAGTATGCTCTGATGTTCTTTCCAGAATGTGAAGTATCTGATTCAATCAGAATTTGTACATGCATTGCTGTAGCAAGAATACAGACCAACCTTTTCAGGCAAGTAAGTCCTAATTTACAGAAATGAAAACTTTTTTATTACAGTATTTTCAATTTTAGCAGACTGCACAAGGATTGGCTGGTCATGAAAGCAAAAGTACTGATACAACCCACAACAGAAATGATGATTCTGTCAACAATCCTAAAGATACCAAAACAAATTTTGAAATTATAAAACAGCAGATAAAGACTGCAACAGCATCGGATTTAAGAGCTCTGGGGCTCAATCTTCTTGATGTTGTAAAAGTGCAGCAAGACCAAATTATATTTTTGTCAAAGGAACTGCAGAGGATGATAGTTGAAAACCAAACATTGAAGGAGCAAGCAAAAAGTACAAATTCTTAAGAAAAGTATAAGTAAAACATAATTGTGCAGTATTGAATTAATTTATTTTAAATTAATTTGCTTCCAATATGGGTCCCATGGCAACATATGAGTAACACTATGATAACTAGAATGTAAAAGGATGAAAAGCTGTCTCTGGCAAACTATTTTTTCTATTCATCAGACACTTGAGCTCAAGGATAGAAGTCTCAACAGTTTTCTAAAAATGTTTTTGAAAGTTGTTTCTCCTTTTTGTTACCAATTCAGCCAGGGTTTTATCATTGATATGACCAGCTTTCAAGCACCTCATTTACTTGAACCCCTTAATTTGTCTATTTCTCAATTTTGATGATAGCCAAAACTTATTTTAATGTTTTGGGCCCAAAATAGGCATTTTTTCATAGAACAGTGGCCCGCATAAGACATCATACCTCCTCTGAATAAAGATTTTCGAGCCAATCTTGTGAAAAATAAAATCTGATCTTGTGATAAAAATAAATAATGTTGCAAAAACAAATCATGTACCTGACAACTGCAATGGCAGAATACCCAAGAAAACAAAAGGTATAGACAAAGGTCATTGGTGTTATATCCCCTTAGCACTGGTAGGTAGTTTGAAGTACGCCCAGGAGTTATGCTTATAGAGCAGTGTCCTTTTCCTTCCTCCCAAAACAACAATACCTTGTAATTCCTTTGCCTGCAATCTTAGAGAGCAGGCAACTTCCCTCACTCTAGGTGATAGTTGGCTATTAAAGGGAATTAAGCCCCAGACCCTTCAAAATATAGTCAATGACCCTTAAAACACTGGGCTATCATCACATCTTATGAGATATTAGAGGGCCTCCTTTCTGACTTAATAGAAAATTGAACAAATTCCGCAAAATAGAAACGAGATAAAAAATAAACACTGTCAGACTTGATTAGATAATCATACAAAACACATCTCAATTCATTGATACAACAATTGGGTCTTATCAAAGTTCACCAGAATAGGTATTATGGAGCTTAAAATAATCAGTGAGAGGATTTTTTGCAGGTGTAGAAAAGTACTAGGTTAGTGGCAGTTATCCTGTAAGGTAATATTACAAAGACAGGGACTTTGGGAGGAAAATCAGAGAACTTTCTTATACATTTCACTGATAATTCAGCATCACTGCAACCTACAAACTATTGTTAAGTGTTTAAAAACCACACAATTCATGTGTATATTGAATCTTAATAATAAGGTTTCTGAAAAACGACAAAGGGGAATTTTATGCTGTTTCTTCTCTGCGATTTTTAATATTCAGCAAGTAAAAAGCTCTATCTTGTTATGATATGGATGCATGCAGCTGACCGAAAACTAACTGGCCGAAAATATGTGCAAAATATGGCTATATGAAATTTCTACTTAAATATCCATCAAACAATACAATTTATATATGGTGAGAGATTAATATGACATCTCATTTACAACAAGGGCACTAAAAATCAAGTTATTTGACATCCAGTGGAACACCACGATTTGGAATGTAAGGCGTCTTGCGTTCAATCATTGTAATGCAATCTGAAAACAACAAGGAAAATGAGCAAACAGGTAGAAGAATCTCCTTTGAAAAAATGACCTCAAAGAGTATTTATATTGTTAATGCTAGCAAAGCTATGTTTTCCAAGTGAAACCAGGTGCAAGGAAACGAAGTCGCATGGTGTCCTGCTTGAGATAGACATTCTAGCAATGAAGTTTTTTTAAGGAAAGCAAAGATTTCAAACAGGTTCCAAGTACAGACATCATCGAAAGAAAAGACATTTGAATCTAGAGTAAGTATATTTGATTGAGCAAAGGTTACAGATGTTATCTACATTCAGTTCAAAAAGTCTGGTGCCAAATATTTCGGTGGATTATTTTTTGGTGGAAAAAAATTCGGTCATATCTATGAAATTCGGTGCAAATTTTGATGAGAATTTGAAAAAAATTTCGGTGGAAAGAAAAAGCTTCTATGAGTAAAGGATTGAACATTTTCTGTAAGCTATTTCCATCTTCAACATAAATAATCTGGAACGCAATCACAAAAGATTTATTTGTGGTACAGAACTTGAAAATGGTCTCATTCATTACATTCTGGTCAACATTTCAAGCAAACCTTTTCTTCTGGTCTACATTACATGCTGATTTAAATATCTGTTCTAACAATAAAACAGAGCATTTGAGGCAGTCAATTTTTCTTCCTGTTCTGATATTCTTTCCTGCAGCTCATAATTTCATAGCTTCAGTGACCTCTTATTACTTTCTAATGCAATCAATTCTATCATTTCTGTGATTTTTCCTCTTTGCAGCATTTCTTGACGTATATCTACTCAACTGAACTGACTTTCCTTTCAATTTGAGTCTCTCGTACTTTATTTTCATTCTTTGTAACTGATGCTTTAGCAAATTCATTTTTCTTACACACTCTCTCTCTCTCTCTCTCTCTCTCTTGGTTGCTCTTGCATCAAAAGTTTATCTCTCCATATTATTTGTTGCTTTGACAAATTCAACATTCAGACTTGCAACTTCTTGATCACAGTAGAATAATTCAAGTCATGCAATTTTCCGGCTTCGTTATCAATATGAAGAGGCATCCATTTTGTCACACAATTTTTAGGGCAACGAGGATTGAGCAACTTAAGTTGCACTTGAGACGTCAGCCACTCCTGGGACAAGCTGGCCATGTCGTAAAATCTCGAACTTCAATTTTTAGCTCATTTAAACAGCTGCTCATTTGTTGATTAACGAAAACTCAAATGTGACGAACATAAAATTATTGCCAAAACAATATTTGGCTTCCGTGATTGTGCTTTGCTTGGCAACAGCATTGAACAATTAAAAAAGTAACACCTTCAAAAAGTTATAATTCCAAACTGGACAATAGCAAATATTTGTTAAAGATTATAAGGACATCTGGTACTAACGCCAATTTTCTGATGGCAGTAGAAGTAAAAGCCAGGGAAAATGTTTAATTACTTCGTGCACAAAAAATTCAGCCACCCAAACGAAAAAAAGTTAGGACGATAAAACCGAAACGAACTAAAAAATGATAATTAAATTCGTAAACATTGGAAGGAAAAACTTTTAAATATATATGAACATTTGCATAACATCTAAAATCAGTCTACTGTTCTCAAATCACCTTTCATCCTTGCAAAGAACCACGCTTTGTCGCTTCCATTTTTCTTGCTTCAAACCACATCAGACTACACAACTTTCCCCTTTTTCGGGTTGTCACTGAACATTTTAAACATCATATATAAGTGATGATTTAAACAAGCTGCGTACGATATGCGTACAATTCTGCTGCTTTGTATCTGCACAAGCTTTGAAATTCAGTTAGGACAATCACAGGAAAACACCCCCCCCCCAAAAGAAAAGAGCTTACAATTCTAGAAGGTAAAGAAATCATTGAGCAGTGTGTACTCACCGATAATAGGGCACACACTGACACACAGAGTGCAACCAGTGCAATCCTCTGTGATGTGAGGCAAATGTGTTTCAGGATTAAAAGTTATGGCTTGGTAGCCCGAGTCATTGCAAGTCATGTAGCATTTGCCACAGTTGATGCACATCTCTTCATCGATCAAGGCAACAGCTTGTTGCTTATTGTCCATTCGACCATAAGTGCCAATGCGGGACAAGGCCAGACCAATTGTGTCCTATGGGATTCAACCAAGAACAAACCATCATAAAAAAGAAATCGTAATGACAAACGTATATGATCTAAGATACTCTGTAAGGTGCATCTTGTGTCGGCACAACGAAGAGTTAAGAAGAACCGCATGTACAACTCTGGGTATTCAACCCGCGGAGGGAAACTTGGTGTCTCTAAATACATAAATTTATGAACACGTCAAAAACCTTTTGGAAAAATGATACAGAAAGTGATTGTCCTGCCAATTCATATTTTACAGTTTGTAAGGAAGCTTGGTAGAAAACTACCTTCTAGTATTTGGACTCATTTAGATTAATTTACAGCCAACACCCCTCCCCCCAAAATATAAGCCCGCCTTTGTATAGACTAAATTACCCATACACTGTACCAAACAAAACAAAGACAAAACAAACAAAAAAAACAAAAATAATGCTAAAACTACAAAATGTGGGTAAAAATTTGGATGCGATAGAAGGAGTTATAACTAAACCAACCCAAACATTACCTTCGTGATTTCATTATAATGTAGAATTTACCTTGAGTTTTGGTAAATCGCCTTTTGGCTGCACCGCAGGTCTCACTGCCTTTCCTTTGAAATCGTCACCAAGAAGATCTGCTGACTTTTTATATTCGGCAACAATCTTCTCTCTCTCCATTTTGTAGGGTCCAAAGTTCGGAAGACCCTATAACGAAACACAGTCCACAACATTTAAAGCTTGAGTAAAACCCTGGCTTTTTGGATCGTATTGAAAATATAACTAATCAAAAGTTTTGATGTCCCATTGCAAAAAGCTTCTTATTCTCCTAAAAAACAAATTTTTGCTTATAAAAACCACGCAATACCGGATGGCTGACTATTTTGAAACAAGCATTGACAATAATAATAACAATAATATCATCATATTTGTACAGGTTTAGACTTATTCGGCAACAATGGACTGTTATTAACTAAGGATAGTGACGCAAATAATTGTGATTCAAAAAAATCAAAAATATCAAAAATTTCGATATCATAATAGAATCTTGATTAAACAGATATTTCCGTGCATTTTTAAAACGCAAGTGGTAACCAGATCTGGTAGACACTTATTGATCGATACCTTCCCAATAACCTCCTTGACAACCACTGGCTTTCCTTTTTGATGTCTCTCCGTGGGCATGCTCTGTCCGTTCCATTCTTTGAACTCTTCACATGCTTCCATATACAACAAACACTTCAATCCAGATATGTAATCTTGGACAACTGTGAAATCTTGATTCTGGATTGCACTGCAAACCTTTTGCAAAAAGAGACATAAATTAGCAACTGGATGAACCAGGGCTGTGTATGAAAAAACACGACCATGCTATCCCTTAGAAAAATCGTCTCATAACCAGAATATTTAGATGGAATTTCTTTGATTTTTATAATTTATGGAGAACGACATTCTAAAAGCTAGGTGAAAGTTGTCAAAACAAGTATTCTGGTAAATTGATTACATCACTGAAAAATCCTTATCTTGACAAATAGCTGATCTACACATAAACACTCTTATAAACCAATCTCTTCAAAAAAGGGTTGAGTTAATTTGCGACATGTAACAAGCAGAGATTTGCTCTCGCAGTTTATGAAAAAGCCAAATTTTAACTTTTCAGTTCCAAAGGAAACTTAACCGAAGTATAAGGGTAGGAAAATATATTTGAAGCAGGAAACAGTATGACAGCATCTGAAGTAGCAAAGAGATCACACACCTCTTTTAAATATCATCTCAAAAGCCTGAGCGGTCCCTCCCTTACATCTCGTTTTACATTCAAACCAGTGGCGGAAACGTGAGGGGGAGGGGTCGGTCGCCCCCAATATTTTGGAGGACAATAGCCCTCTGTTCTAAAACAATGGGTAAATGTGACGTCATCTTAGCAAAACAATAGGACCCCACTAATATTTGACCAAGTGTCCGCCCCTCATTAAAACCTCGCCTTACACTAAATGAAAATATATCAGCTACACGCCATTACCTGAACAACACTAGCACCAGCGTGAAGGAACTGCAACGCTGAGGAAGCACTGTCAATGCCTCCAGTTGCTAAGATAGGAAATCCTGGTAAGGCATTGGCAACTGCAGAGACAGCACGCAGTGCTATTGGTCTTATGGCATTTCCAGATACCCCGCCATATGTGGTAAGCTTTTCCTTACCAACGGCAGGCCATGCTGTAGCATCACCCTTTAGGTGCATCAGGCCTGAGACTGTGTTGGTAGCAGTGCAGCCATCTGCACCTCCTTGAATTGGAAGAAAAGGGTATCAAATTAAAAAATATCATCTAGGCAAAAAATATCAGACATGTGGTACATCTAGATACACTGTGGCATATCAAGAATGAGTTGCTTGACTTTAAACATGTATTATGACTTCAAAACAAGAGGGAAAGGGTCATACAGTCATTATGCAACACAAAACAAACAAGTTCCTTACACCTACTGATTAATGAAAGCAAATACCTACCTACGATAGCAAAAAGTCACGAAATACCTAAACCCACGTGCCTGGCCAGCAATATCTAATAAATGAACAGCCCCTTATTCTCTTTAACTTTTATTTAGTTTTAACTCTGATTAAACAATGCTTTAGCAATAGGCTTGCTTCACGATTTGAAAACTCAAATAGGGTCTATACTCATCACAAACTTTTTTAAAAAATTTAGAACGACTAAGTGAAGTATTTTCTACCTTCCTTGGCTGCTCTCGCAATATGTACAATGTTCGTAACGTTTGGAGTCAACTTTGCAAAAAATGGAATCTTTACTGCAGCTCTAACCCAGCGACAGATGTTCCTTACCAGTTCAGGGTCCTTGAAACAATTAAAATTGTTAGAAATTATCACGATTAGAAATATTTACATAAAGTAGTCAAATTAAAACCCGAGGAAAGAATTATTTTCAACTGATCTTTGAATTTCAAGAACGTTTCGTGGGGAAAAAGCTTAAGCATTTTGCAATCAAACTGATTACGTTTACAGCATACATTCATTGTATATATGGAAGTAAAAGATAAATTTCTTACTTTGCTGTGACATGGACAAAGTAGGAACGTTTGTGAACAAAAAATTTCCAAATAGGAAGAGAACGTAAATAGAAGCTCTTAAACAATGGGAATAGAATTTTTTTTTAAATATGGTGGCGTGAATGAAAAAGTAAAATTGATTATTCTATTAGGATAACTAAGAAACAAAAGTGTTGTCATTAGAAGGACCTGAAAATAGAACGGTAAGCATTGATTAAGACCTTTCATACCTGACCACATGCCAGACCCATTCCTCTTTCTCCCATACCATGAGGACAAGACAAATTCAGCTCTAGAGCATGGGACCCTGCGGCCTTAAAAAATTGAGTATAAAAATTAACAGCAAGAAATAGCATAGAGCAATGGAAAACTCACTTGAAAAGACAATTACAACGCGAAGCTACAACTAAAACCGATAGCAGATACTTCGTATACTGCAATAAAAGCGACACTGTCTTGTCTGTTAATTGACTATAGAGTACCGACGTGTGACGTCATCAAAAATATATTTTTAGAAGTTCTTAATTTTGACCACATAATCTGAAAGAACGGCATAAAAAACTTCTCAATATGCAAAATCAGTTAAAAATATTCAAAATTGTGCGAGATATGGCCAATGAAAGATTTCAAGTTTGCTAACGGATTACTGTTATTCTGGCAACCAAGACGAAATTACAGAGGTTTGATTAAGGGCAAGAGCCTGTGCTCTTGTGGCCATTTCTCCTCCAATTTGTAGCCCATTGTACTGATTATGCATATTTAGAGGTGTTTCATGATGCTCTTTCAGGTTATGGGATCAAAAGTGAAAAATTTTAAAATAGATTTTTGTGACGTCATCACTTCGGTACTCTATTGAAAAAGGACTCTAAATTTAGATTCATTATATACTTTGAAAATAATATCTACTCCATTGAAGTAACAATCTAGGCTAGGTCTGGGATAAAATCTTAACTCTTACCCTAACTCTAACAAAAATCACACTAAAACAGTCTTGGACTTTTTTAGGGCAAACTTCACGAGGTTCATTAGCAACAAAAACCATCCAACAGCATGAATAACAAATAGATTTAGAATTACCTCTGCCATTTTAGCAAGTTCCGTCCAGTCCTCCTTAGAATAGCCACACATTATACTGGCAATCAAAACCTACAGTAGGTGGAAGAGAGAATAATTTACATAGAATATATATCAATATGGAGGTTCAAGAGTCTCTTTATACGTGAAGAGGGTTTCTCCATTACAACTGAAGGAAAGCCGACATGAGGGTTTTTTATTCAGGTCTTAGAAATGTGAATAGACTTTTCACAACAACCTTTTTCGAAATGATCCCAAATTTCATTTCTGACATTTTTAACTAATATATACTTGTATTTACCACCATACTTTTAGTCTTGGTACCTTCTTTCACCTTCTTGTTTCAGCATTATTATAGATTTTATGACATTATCAAACTTTAAATCGTTTAATCAAAATAATATAAAATTTCTAACATAATGTCGTCGTAAACTCATTATAAAAAAGCACTAAAGATCAAAATGCACACGTAGACTATGATTCTGGTCCTTTACTCGAAGCATTGGTCAAAAAAATAGTAGAGAGGAATTGAAGTATTTTTCAAAATGAGGCCTTGAATTAAAAAGAGGTGTGCTTACAAGAGACTATCTAAGCATATCACACCATTTCAATACTATCAAGCAATTTAAAGGCTACCCAACAGTAGAAAATGTCACAAAATTTACGAAGTAATGAAGCAATACGTAGATCAATAACTACAAATAAGGAAGAAGATAATTTTCATCGAAACGAAAAAGTGAGATGGGCTAGCATATACTACAAAACCGATAAAGGCCACGCTATTTGATAGAAACAAAAACACCACTTGCTTGATTTGGGAAATCTCTCACAAGCTCTGTCACGGAGTTGCACCAATACTTTGCAGTTTTCTCGCTGATTAGCTCTATGTTCAAGAAAGAACCCTGGCCTGGTCCGTAAATCTCACCAGAAGTGCTGCCGCGGACAATCCTTGGACTGACATTAGTGACAATGTCCTAGAATTCAATTTGAATAAAAAAACTATGAAATGGATTGCACACAAAAAGCTAACAAAGCAAGGCAGATACTGGACGGCCAGTTGGTGGGAAGCTCTTAATTAAAACTTCAATATATAGGGGATAAAAGTTTGAATGCCCTCGAGAATAGAAACATTACATAGCTTTCAGCGTAGTATCTTAAAATACATCAAAGTTTCGTTAAAACTAATAAAAGAAATAAAAGCAAGAAAATAACGACGACTCTTACCTTATCAAGCGAAAATGTCTTTGTGAGAGCAAACCCCCATCCAGTCTCGAACGCACGACGTATCATGGCAGATGTTGTGGTCGGAGGGGCACTGGCGAGGCCAAATGGGTTGGGGAATTTCAGGCCACAAACCTCGACACTCAGATCAACTAAATCGACAGGCGTGTAGAAAAGAGGCAACTTGGGCGTCTCGTCCATGACGGGGATGCCATGAAGCTCCTTTGAAATTACAAGAAGGTAGGCTTGAAGTTGGCATACGGATCATAAAACAAAATCTAATGTGCCTAACATCAAGGTGAATATATGAACCAGAATGGTGCAAAAGCATTTATCAATTTATCAATTTATCATTTATCATTTCAGTTCGCTTTTCAAACACTCCACTGGACGATTACGCTTCACCAATTAAACAAGACTCGCCATCAAACTACAAACACTGATATTTCTTAGAATATAGCTTTTTCAAAAATGGTAACAAATTCAAACATTAACAAATATTAGCTTCACAATATTTAACAGATTTGTTTTTACTCCCAGCTGCAGCATATGCAGCACCTTTAAGATGTCATATCGTCGCTCATTGCAGCTTATCTAACCATCGCCCTCTACATTTCCCTCCAATTTACCCTTTCATCTTCGGTTAACATACATATCTATACCTTCATACTTGTGCATGTACCAAGATTGGACATAATGAGCATGTACCAAGATATAGACTGAACACGAACCTGGAGATACTTGTGCATGTACCAAGCAGCAGTCTTCCCATCATTCACAGATTCAACCGTTGTTTGTGCGACACCAGCCAAATCGCCTCCACAAAACACTCCGGGAGCACTGGTTTCCATGGTCTCGTAATTCACCTCAACAGTTCCCCATTTTGTCATCTTCACAGGGTCCAGAGACTTTACAACTGCGAATAGAATCAATATGTTAAAGGATGTAACAGCAAATAAAAGAGATTTCAGGCTATAAAGTTTTATAAGATAAAGTAAGCAAAAGAAAAATTAACAACACATACTAATTAAGACGCAGAAAATGCTATCACGATTCTACTCTGTAACCAGCTAAACTTTATAATAGAGTATTGCATCTGTTGCTTTTGATTCAATACTCTTTGAGGTAATTGAAAATTTTCTAGGCAAAGGGGGGGGGGGGTTCTTTCGCCACAAAGCTCTCACTCTTTCGAGAAACACCTTTTTTAACGACTAAGCATATACACAAGCAATTGTATAGATTTACTGTATATATGAAAAAGTTTTTTGATGTTAGATTTTAATGAAGATTCTATCAAAAGGAAGTAGCGCATAAGAGATACTTAAACAAACTAATGTTAATGACAACTGAAAGAAATCATTGAAACAAATCAACTGAAAGAAACAAATCAATGGGTTTAATACAGATGTCTATCTTTAAGAGCTAACCACATAATGATGTCAAAATTGACTACGAGCCATTGATGATGAGAATAATGGTTAAAGAATGAAATATTACTATGATCGTCTTGCAAAGTTGATCCAAATGCAGATATAACACAGTCTGTTTTAATGCGAATAATTTGCTCTTCATCTTCAATCCAGGTCCCATCATCATTCTAGGCATGATAAAAAGTAAGATATCATCATCGTGCTTTATATCAAGGCGCTGATATCAACAATTGTGTTCATTTTACATTAGTACAGGGTAAGGGTAGCATTTTACACTAGTACCGGGCAACAGTCGAAAATAGCAGCTAATCAGCCATGAAATAAGCATCGTATCTTTACGATTTCTATTTTTGATGACACTTTACCATGAACATATTAATTTTAGCTGCAAAAACTGAACGAACGAATTAGCTTTATATAATTAATGTCCATTTTGAAAAAGCACCGTAAACTCCAGCAAAGAAGAGTCTACTCTTTTAAGAGTGAACTGCGTTCTTTGGTCTTGTTGCTATTAAGTTGCATAAAGGGGTTGCAGGGTCGAAGGTTCTTTCAGTAGGGTTCTTTTGTAAAAGACGTAAATGGAAGAGTTTGATTTGTAGACTGGCAACAGGGGGGTTTTGTGGCAAAAAGTGGTCCAAGGGACAATGCACATTTAAAAGAAATCTTGTCAGGCAAAATAGGTTCTTAAACAGGGTGCTTAATAAAAGATAGAAGATTTGTTCGTTCTCAAGGTCTTAGGTTCATATCTACTGAATATGGAAACTACATCTGCGGTGAGATAGAATAGGGTATTATTCTAATATTAATCAACTAAAAGACAATTTCCAAGAACAAAATATCTCAACACAGATGGAGGTGCCAGCAAAAAATACAAAATCTCAAAGTACAATGGAAGAATGAGTTGAAAATGTACAAAAAATAAAGAAAGCTTAAAACCTGTTCTGTTCTGTAAAACTCCATTGCAGCAATTTTATCACCCTTTAAAATGACCTTCTTAGGAGACAAGAAGGGCAAGAATTCGCATTTCTCCTCCCTAGCCAGCTCCATTTCCTCCGGAACAGCCCGGATGTTTGTAAAGCCTTTCCGGAAGACGACAAAGACGCGCTTTGCACCACATCGCAGTGCAGAGGTGCAGCAGTCGAAGGCAGTGTCACCAGCACCAAGGACAATCACTTTGCCTTTCAGTTCAGGAAGGGAAGAGCCACAGCAAGACATGCCTACGAAAAGCAATTCAGTAAAACAGTTTTCAAAAAGGGAATGATTATTATCGGACAACAATCGTCAAAGAACAGCTTCCATTCGAAGTAACTGTTTAATCCAAGTTAAAAGAACGCTCCCTTTTGAATTATAACACACAAAGAAATTGGTTCATACTACTTGGAAAAACTGCATCAATTCATTCATCCATTCGAAGGGTAAATCACTCCCAAAAGGTGTACGAGATTTAGAGATTTTGAAAAAAAGATGAGGAAGGATTTAGAGATTTAGAGATGGGGAAGGAGATTTTGGGATTTTTCAGTAGATTTTGGGATTTTTTAAAATCTGACATTTAATTGTTAAAAGCAAGATCTTAAAGATTCTGGGCTTTTGTTACAAACGTAAACAAGTTTTTGATAAACGATTTTTATAAACAACATTTATGGTAAACAACTTTTTTGGTAAACATCAACTAAAATTAAAGTTGTTTTCTAACACCTGTTTCTTCGTAAACATGTTTTGATTAACCGAGACGTGTGAACATTGTGGTGCTAACACGAAGAATGGATTGTCAAGGGACACAAGACAGATTACTATAAAAATTGCTAGCTCACTCAATGCATTTTAGAGAAAGTACTTGTGTTAATCATAGATTGGCACTCTGTCTTTTTCTCTGTTTGATTTCTGCCAGCGATCGCATTTTTAAAGGAGGATCTAGCTTTTCGGTCACCGCAAGCTACCCTAACGAATGCGTAAAAATACAACAGCTTTTAAGTGAAAATTCTGCGATTTAGGAAGTTGATTATGATAACTATGATTTTCAGTTTGTTCTTTATGCAATATGTTTTTTTCGAAACGCGTGCATCAAACAAAACACTCGAATTTCTAGCAAGAATAAAATTGCTGCTTTAAAGTGGTTACCATCTTTGATTAAGGTGATTCAAAAATTTGATGATGGAGAAAGAACTTATTATAAGTAGGTGTTGGAAGTTTTGTTGCTGACATCAAAAATCTATTTTTAGAACTTCTTTATTTGGAACCGCATAAATACCTCTTAACAAGCAAAATTATGTTCAAAATCGGACGAGATACAGCAAATGAAAGATTTCAAGTTTGCAAAGGATTACTGTTATTCTGGCCTGGTTGATAAAGTTATGAACCAAGACCAAATTACAGAGGTTTGATAGGGCAAAAGCCTGAACTAATATGGCCATGTCTCAGCCAATTTGTAACACATTCAACTAATTTTGTACATTAAGAGGTATTTTATAAAGCTTTTTTAGAAGTTATGGTTATCACTTTGCTGACGTCACATCAAATTTCAGAGTCAGATCGAGGCTGGCGTGGGCAAAAGTGCTTGATGTGAATTTTTTTTCTCATGTTAAGTGATATTGATTTATAAACCGCAAAGATTTTTGTCGAGAAGTCGTTTCAAATAAGCTTGAAATATTCCAGGATTTGGTAAAATCTTTCAGCCACTGCCAATAAATTTTGAGATTTCAAGATTTTTTTTCAAGATTTTAAGATTTCTTTTCTAGATTTCCAGATTTTTTTTAATGATTTTAAGTTGCTGGTGAGATTTCTTAGATTTCATGATCTATTTTAAAGATTTTGAGATTTCAACAATGTTTGAATAGATTTTAGAGATTTTTTTGATAATTTGTGAAAGATGTACGAGATTTTTAAGAGTGATCCACCCCTCGCATCCATTCACTCATAAATTAATTTCTTGCAGAAAAATTCGTCAGGAAAATGCATCTTTCGAGCGAATCTTGTAAACAGTCTTAAATTGGCCTAACTTTCGAACAATTTATCATTGCATTAATATTTCAACATTATTACGCGCATGGTGTTGCTTGTGGTGGTCCTCAGAATGAAGTTTCTATAAAACCTGTGCTTTCCAACTAATGCTTCAGTTCGGAACGGGAAAAATGACTGCCAAATGCCTCGCTGGTTATCTGGCGCTCAAAAGCATAAATCAAATATTGGAAGACAAAATAATTCAGATTTAAATGTACCTGCTTTGCTAGCTTTGGAGACCACAGGAAGAAAATCTTTCGAAGTCCAGAATCCATGAGATCTAGTCAAGCCCTCAAATTGCGGAATAATTTTCGGCTGAGGCAAACCTAATGCGTGAATAAAAGTGGTCACTGAACAGGCATTTTGAAAACTCTAGTAAATTAAATTTTCTAGAATGATACAACAGGCACTAGTATAATACAATTTTCTAGATAATGACATAACATAACATAACATAACATAACATAACATAACATAACATAACATAACATAACATAACATAACATAACATAACATAACATAACATAACATAACATAACATCATATAACATAACATAACATAACATGACATAACATTACATAACATTACATAACATAACATAACATCAAATAACATAACATAACATAACATAACATAACATAACATAACATAACATAACATAACATAACATGACATAACATTACATAACATTACATAACATAACATAACATCAAATAACATAACATAACATAACATAACATAACATAACATAACATTACATAACTTATACCATATAAGATGCGTAATGCAGATAAGACTGTATTAAACATACAATATCATGATATGCATACCATATAATATCAAACCCTGGAATGTAAAATCGTACTCACCCATTCCAAGGAAAATCGCTTCATAGCCACTTTTCTTCAACAACGATATCGTGTGTCCTCCATTTGCTGACAACGGCTGGCCACGCTCGATCTGTGAATGAAAAGAGAAGACACTGCTGATAGAACTTTAAATAACGACTATGATGCAGCAAGACAGGCAGAAGAAAAAGGTTTCGTTTTAATTTATTTTATTGACATAAACGTTATTACTTCAAAAATTATAACTAGGCATTTCCTACAACAATTGTTGATTTGAAGGGTACCAGGTCATTCAAAGATGACACAAGAAAAACAAATCCATCCTGCCTTGGTCTCCCAGGCCTGTGATTCATCCTTCCCACGTTTTCTTTTTACTCACACTTGATGGCAGGAAAGAACGGAAAAAAGAAACAGTATCTTTCGAGCTCTTTAGCTCCTTTTCACCTAAGCTTCCAATTTAACCCTCTACACCTTTTATTTATCATCTTGCTTTACAGCCATCTCATATACTATCTTCATATCAATTTTACCCTTCTCGACCCATGGCAGAAAATAACCAAGATTAACAAACCTGGACTGATAAATCTTTCATCAATTCCACTTCGAAATTGACAACGTCATAGGGAAGTCGATACTGTGGAATCTCCGAAGAGCTATTTACAAAAAAGGTAAGATAGTAGAATGGGTACAGAGCTAGTAAACAGATTAGGATCTACGTATAATGTGATATGTAACGGAACGCGTATCTTAAAAATTAACGCTCTTTGATGATCAATGTATATTTCATAGAAAGTATAATGGCAATTCTTCTCACTCTTGCCTCACGATTTTGTGCGTTTGCAGTCAAGGACTGTTATTAAGTGTCTGGATTTGCAACTGCGAAAATCTCCAAATACAAAACATAAACAGGGAGAAAATAACACACAATGTTAAAATGAAGCAATACGCAAAAGATCTTGGAACTCTAGGTCTCATACAATAAGCCATTCTTGAAAAGTAGGATCGTCGAGCAGGCTATGCAATTTTGATGTGTCAGCTACATACCTTAATCCCCCAATATACTGTTCCTTCTCGAAAATCTTAATGTTTGTGTATCCTAGTCTTGCAAGGAATGTTGCACAACTGATAGAGGCCGGTCCACACCCAATAAGTGCGATCTAAAGAACAAATGTTAGCTTAAACAGCTTAAAGATATGTCTGCAACGTAAACATATATCGGACAACGAGTGAACATATTGCCTATTGGCTATGATCAATGTACAACATACTTTGTGCAGATGTGGAGAAAAAAGTTAATTAAAACTTCAACAACAACAAAAGGTTGTGACAGCTACAAAATACTGTTGAATGCTAGAAAGCCGAGGGGCGATTTGCACCTCGTAGAAGACAATGCTTCAATCAAAAATAAACTCTATGTACAAGAAGTAAACACGGTTTACATCGATGTTCTGCTGAAAACTGCGTCGATCAAACGTGATTGGAACGCGATCACACGACATTAAGCAAGCGTATTCCCAAACAAAAACAGGATACGTACGAAAACTTCATCGGCACTTTAATTAAAGAAACGCGCATGCACGAGAAGCAGACAACTCGAAACGTGATATCACGGCAAACAAGCAAGCCCACACTTTCGCTTTGTGCAAGGAAACATTAAGAAGCATTCAATATGAAAAGAGAACACAAAGAGGTTTTGCTGAGAGGTCGCTCTTACTACAGTCAAAAAGCATACCCAAAACATACAAAGGGGACAAAAATTGAAACTTTACCTTGGCATGGTAGCTTTCAGGAAGATCACTAGCAGATGGTAAATTGGGATCTCTGATTTGGGGTAACCGCATCTTCTTGAATACCTTTGTGGAAAATATGAAGCAAATGAATCTCCCCGACGCCCATCTATCTTGTGCAACAAAGAATCAGTAATTTGATTAATCACAAAGTAGACGCAACTGTATTCGAAAACATGCGAATGGCTTTCGAGTGCATGTTATTACTCCAGCAATGTCCATCACACTTGATTCACAAATAACTCGTGCCCTCCCAATAACTCGAGCCCTCCCAATGACTCGAGCTCCGAATAACCCAAATAGCTCGAGCCCTCCGAAATAACTCGAATAATTCGAACCTCCAATAACTCGAACCTCTAAAAACTCGAGCCCTCCCAATAGCTCGAGCCCTCCCAATAACTAGAGCCCTCCCAATAACTAGAGCCCTCCCAATAACTCGAGCCTCGAATAACCCAAAACCGTCCAAATAACTCGAGCCCTCCCAAAGACTCGAGCCCCCAATAATTCGAGCCCTGCAAACGCGAACCTCGAATAACCCAAACCCGTCCAAATAACTCGAGCCCTCCCGATAACTCAAACAGTTTCTACTTTAACCCTCCATGATAAGTGTGAAACCCCGATAACTTGAAGGTTCGTTATCTAGAAAAAAATTTCATCATCTCCTTGGAGGCTCGAGTCATCGAGTTGATACAGTAGCAGGAAGTTTCCACCAGGGTGATGTTGTCATGCCTTCTTAATGAAAATGACGATGCTTGACTTCTGGGATTTCAATGTGTGGTAAAATGGACAGCTAATTCTGATAAGTAAAATTACTATTACTGTTACTGTTTAAAAGTTAAATCGATTAAAAAACAGAGCTTAATAATTCACAAGTGCATTTAAATGAGACAAGCAGTGTAAAGCTAGAACTTACTTCAGTAGCAAACTGCTGCAATCCACCAATGTTGATTGGCCCCTCCTCAGAGGCATACAAATTACAACCGCCTACGCATAGGTCACTTGTTGGACAAACCATACCACATGTCAGGCCTAAAGGATTGTCACTGAAAATCGCCTTTGCTGCTCCATAATAATTCTGCAGTAGAAGAAAAGAATATTTTCATTAAAAAAGGAAACTTTAAAACAGTTAGGAACTCTATGAAACATGCTTTTCGTAAAAACACATTTTAACAACTTTATAATTGATCTAATTATGGACGTCATGTATTTAGCGTTAAAGATTCATGGAAAAATCATGGGAAAAGACGGCCTGGAACGGAATGGACGAAACCATTTTGAAACAGCTGAGCTAGTCATAAAGCTAGATGGCCATTTGTAAACAAAGATTATTGAGTCCAATGCTTGATTAACACATAATACATTCACAATCCCAAATTTGGCTTTATAATTATAATTAATTATCCACGAATACTTCATGACTTCAGTTTGATATTTTTCAGTGGGTAGAGTTCTTCTGTTAACAAATCTAAAATTTTAGATAAAAGTATTTTGCGCAGTTTTCACTGCAGGGATCCAGGTTCTATGAAGCTCAAGTTAAGAGATTGAATAATCTGAGCAAAATAAACAAATGCAGCAAAATGATCGTTTTCAGGATGAAACTCGGAGTAGCGACTTAGAACCGTACTGTTCTAAACACCAGATAGCATGTACAGCTCTGTCTATACGGCATCAAGCACTTTATGACAGAGCGGCTAACATAAATCTTCACTAATATGAATAAGTCAAAATAAGCTAAAAGAACTGTAAGTCATACCCTGGTGCTAATACTCGATATAAATGTCTTGATATCCAGCTGTGTAGGACAGCTCTTCTGGCAAGGAGCATCCGCACATTTCAGGCACCTTGGAAATACCACACAATTTTTGAATTAAAAAACAAATATCAAAAATGAAAAACATATTTGAATATGTGATCAATAATAAAGTCCAGACTTCAATTTGTTATTGATTGAATACTTTCCAGATTGCTAGTACAACAATTTGTAGTAAATCAAAAGGAAAGCCATCAATCATAATAATGGAACAATTAAAGGAAGGAGAAAAGATTTGCAAAATTCAGGAGAAAGGTATCTCTATAAAGGCTTCTTGCGACAATAGTTTATTCCGTAAAAAAATAAAGGAGCAATGAAGTGATGAGATTACAGTGTAATAGAATATAATCAAAAAATAAAATTACACAACTAAATAGAGACACTGCTTATTTGCCAAGACCACAGCTAATTTGTAACAAAGTTGTATTGGAGAGGTTCTTTCAGATTATTAAATTCCAAATCAAACAATTATTTAAGTAAATTTACATCATGTAATCACGTCACTGCAAATAACGTTATCTAATGCAAGGTTGGTATTCCAAATAAAAGCATTGTATGACTATCAGCAAAAAGGAAGCTATTACAACCACCTGACTGCCAGAAAGTAAATGTTAATAAATCTTCTTCATATTTACGTAGATAGATCTCCTCAATAAATACATACAAACACTTGGTCGAATATGATAAACAATATTTTTAAAATATCCTTTTTAAAAATATGACATAAGAATTTTAGCATCAACAAATTCACCAAATTAAGACTTAGAACAGTAATAAAAAAGCAATCAAGTAAAAAACAGCAAAGCGTTCTTCTGAGTTACAAATACCAGATGTCAAAAACTTCTAGGATGTTAAGAATATCAGACGGGAGCTAACCTTGAAGCTTCTTTTAAAGCACCTCGTTCGCTGAGTGTCGTGTGCTTAACGTCATCAAAATTCTTTGTCAAATCATGACATGACTGAAATTAAATAAACGGACACAATGAGGGAAGTAAAATTCATTTTGAGAGTTATATATGAAAATCTCAAAGTGAATTGTCAAGAGAAATGAATTGCCACACCAAAACCCCGCCCTTTTCATTGTTTATCTGAGGAAAATCTTCACAACTTGAGGAAGGTTTTGCCTTGGAAAATATGGACAGATTTCTGGATTCTGATTGTTAGCCAACCATATTTTAAACATTGCTTCATGCTGCCAAATCTTATGAAGATTGTAAAGATAAATTTGAAGGAAGCAAATTTGTTGGCCAGCGCCTTACCAGCCTTACCAGACAATGTAACGATTTTAGGCACAACCAGGGCTGTATTAACCATTAAGCAGACTAAGCACATGCAAATTGATCTAAACATTCTGTTTCTTGATCATCTTATGTTCCCAGGTGTGCCAAAAAGGAAGGCTAACGCTGTGTACTTTGACCTTTGCTGACCTCTGATCGTTGGACTACCAGGAGGTCTGATATTTTATCCCTGGTCCCCTAAGATGGGCCAGAAACACGAGAAACTCCAAACTCCCCTTATCACTCCTTCCTAGAGGTTGTAATATTTGAAACACTTTGGAGCACTGTTCTTGCACTAAAGATTCTAATAGCTTGTTTTCTTTCAACATCAGTATCAAGACAAGAAGTCTAATATCATCCTCCCCTCTTCTTATCCCAAACCTCCTTTCCCTTTCTTGGGCTTTGCTATAGGTCCCGTTAGCCTCCCCCTAACATAACCAACTAAAAAGGTCAACAGCTAGTGTGGAATGGGTCGGTAGTGAAAGGTAAGGAACATTAAAAATTTTCAGTGCTTAGGGCACCAATGCCCGCCTCTGGTTACAACGATTGTATAATTCCAAATGTTGCTGCGACACTTAACATGACAACTTTCGGCCTTTGTAGACCGTTCTTTGGCAGTTTCAGGGGTGTTTAGTGAGAAGTATTCAAACGTGCTGTAACGTAACAAAAATGTTGAAAAGCACTGAACAACGTTCAATCCCAACAGGAACAGTAGAAATTTGAAGTCAATTCATTGGACATTGTAGACTTAACATCGCTCAACAATACAGAACATCGCTCAACGATACAGAACATCGCTCAACGATACAGAACATCGCTCAACGATACAGAACATCGCTCAGCGATACAGAACATCGCTCAACGATACAGAACATCGCTCAACGATACAGAACATCGCTCAACGATACAGAACATCGCTCAACGATACAGAACATCGCTCAACGATACAGAACATCTGAACATGCTGAACATTACTGAACATCGCTCAACTTGACTGAACATTGTTCGACATTGCATTCAGACTCATTTAACGTTCGTTTACTACCCATGTCAAGAGTTATCAAGTGAACATTTGCATACCGATTGAAACTAACAGCAAAAAAGGTCGAAGAAGAGATTATGAAAAACTAAAAAACACGATAGAATTAGTTGGTAAATAAAACAGCAAAAAGTTTTATTCATATATTGCTGTAAATAATGACATGTTCATGAATACAAGGTTTTGTGAGCATAGGCCATAAAATTGCTCTAGTCCAATAAAGTCATCGTTGGAATCTGTCTTTTTTTATTGGGTCGGTGAATTAGTTTTTGATGACTTTCTTTTAAATGACTTCTCCATTCTCTTTCGGTGAATTGTCGCTGTTTTTCCCAGACCTTTCAACGGCAGCGTCATTTTCGACTTTGTTCGCCCGTACATCCGAAAATGAGATTCTCGCACTTCTCGTATTTCTTTTTCTGCAGATATTTAAGATAAACTGCTTTGCCTTGGCGTTTAACTTCAAAACTACAACGCTGTTAAAAAGGCAGGTCACATGCATAGTAATCAAACTGGCCATTGCGAATTCACGAGACTCCAGACTCCTGTAGCCTAGAAACAGCATCTGAAAGATGTGAATCATATTCGATATACAAAGCGGTGCGTAGGCTGTAAACAAAAGTAACAAAAGGATAAGCACTGTCTTGTACAGTTTCTTGAGGTACTGAGGCTTACCAGAGTCGGCAAGGTATATTGGGCTGTCGAGCGTAAAGCGCTGTATTCGTCTATATCCTCTGACATAGAGAACAATAGTTGCACTTAAAACCACAATGACTATAAATACAGTTCCCTGCGCGGCGAAATTTGGCTCCTTCATTTTCGTATTGAACGCAAAAGCATAGATACAAGCATGTGAACAACTTATGGTGAATACCAAAGCAAGCAAAATGTAAACTTTAGGCCTATCAAACAGCCTAGCAACACGTGAAGGTCGTTCCAAGTTTGGATTCATGTGAAGGTACCTGTCCACTGTTATCAAAAACGTTATCAAGCCAGACAGCTCGTAGAAGATAACTAGCAAACTTTGAAGAGCAATGGCCCATGTACAATAACTCGGAGTCGGTTCGTCAAAAACAAGGAAAAAATACGCGTGAAGAGGGAGAATGAGAAATCCATTGATTGCATCCGAAATACTCAGACAAACAATCAGAAAATTGGTAGTGTTCAGCCATATTTGTTTCGTGAAAAGAAATGAGGTGAACAAAAGGATATTAAAGAAAACGATGACAGGAGAATATATTCCGTAAAATATTGCTGTAATTTTTCTGTTCCGTTCAAACCCCAAACCAAAGGCGAACTCTTGATAAATAGTGTGGCACCCAGAATTAGAGAAGGTTGCATTAGACATCTTTAAGGATCTTATTTAAAACAGATTTGGCACTCTACAACTGTTATAAAAGTCATATAAAATATGAGAAGATCATCGCTGGTCCTCAACATCTAAATATTCCATCGAATACAATCCGCAAGTCACGATTCACACGACTCAGTCAAGTTATCTGGAAGCTTGAAGCAAGATAAGTTTAGTATTAGAAACCAGGTCTTTAGACTTTCTATTCTTCACAGTTGAAATGCGTAGATGCAACTCATCCTTCTGCAACCACTGGCATTCCTTCAGCTAATGATCATAAAAACGCAAAAGTCTTTCTCATGATCAAAGTAATTGAAATGATCATCCACGTATGATTGATCCAAAGTTTCATTTTATCTCGATGACTTCTTATCAGGAAGAGTGACAACTCACTAAATTGGACTCAGTGGGCCGCAGAGCAACTTCTTTTAAAGAAAAATGAGTTCTTCAAACGGGAAACAGACCTAGTAGGCACTGCCTCATCAACAATCAAACATAATCAACACAATGTGCTGGGTTGAAAGCTGTTTTTCGTCAACTTGCTCAAAATGCTGATGTAGTTATTAAATAGTGGACAACTGTCAAACTGTTTTGCAATCATTTATAAGCAAACAATTACTTCATATGATGGAAGATTGCTTTCAATAAACTGATTGGCTGGAGTCTTAACATCTGGAAATCTCTTAATACAACTAAATATTTACAAACTGAGCTAATTAGAATATAAAAAGATCAAAACAATAAAATTCGAATTTTGATTAAAGCATTTTAATTGACAAACAGGTTTTGAAAATCAATATTTTTACATATTTAGCCAATCTACTGTAATGTTTTAAACATTATTACATTCCAACTATATTGTTGATGAAGGAGTTACTTGGTAGCATGAATACAGGTCTTTGGGCGAAAGCACCTTTAAGGGTGGCACAACAGAAGCAGATGAAGAATACATTGCTTATTTGTATACATAATTTTCTTTCTAAGAAAGTTATCAGATAAGATTGGAAAGTAAAAAAGTTTAAAAAGGTCGATAAACAGGCTATATACATACATAGAGATCATGGTTTCTTGAAAGCCTTTCAAAGGATAAACAACACCAAATACAAAAAATCATAGAAAAAACAAAGAAGAAATTAGCAAAAGAAAATGAATAGACAAAATATAAGTGTTTAGGTAAATGCAGTGTAACCAACTTAAACTAGCATTAAAAAGGTGAACAGCTTTATATTTCGTGTGCAATTAATAAATTGTTTCAGGTAATGTGTTCTTATAACATCGATGTCCGTCTTTCATCTCTGGCCTAAATATGAACGCTAGAATTTTGATCTAGTCGAAAAAGCCAGCTAGCAATCTTCTAGCAAATCAAAATAAAAACAAAAATTGTCGTCCAAATATTTTAGTACCCGATAGCGTGCAAACTTGAACCTCCCATAAGAGAATGGTGCCTATGTCTTCACAAAATGAGTTTGGGTTATCTTCTTCCCACAATTGCGGGGCATCCTCCTACCCCAGAAAGCGGTGCGCTGCGCCTTAAGCTGAATTCTCAGTTGTTGTGCATGTTGCTAAGAAATCAAGGTGTCGTGTGCAAAAATCTAAAGCAGCTAGATAATGTTGACCCATTGTGCAAATATTGCGGTTCCGGCTTTGACTGAAAGCCTATTATTAAAAAAGTGCAAACATACATTCACATTCAGGTGGAGGAAAAACCATTCAAAACAAGGATGTTGAAACGTCGAATTAACAAAAAGATGAAAATTGCGTCGCATTCTTTGAGGATAAAGTTAATCATGAAAAAATTGAAAATATGGTAAAATAACACATTTGACTAAATTTTCTAGCTGACAATGTTGAAAAGAGCGCGTGCGATAATTTTGACCAACAGTACTTGGAACACCCGAAGAATTTTCTAACTATTTTCAAATTACACATGTAGATATGGCTGAGTTGCCCCTTTTTCAAAACAATCTTTGAAATGCAACTCAGCGATCCTAGTTTCTAAAATACTGGTTATGTTCGTTAGTGAATTTCTATGGAGAATAATCCAACATTGTTTGAAAGGGGAGAGGGGGAGTAGCCAACATGAATGTTTTAAGACATTTGGCAAGCATTGCAAACGGATCATTGAAGTAGTGTAAGTATTTAAGTACTTGTTTCCATCTAGCATTACGACTGTGCTTATCGAGCAGTGTTCTGGTCCTTCCTAGTCCATGTGACCACACCTCGTGGTCCATGTGACCACACGAGCAGTGTCTTGGTCCATGTGACCATACCTTGTAGTTCATTTCCATGCCTGGAAATGCAGAGAGCTGGTGACTTCTCTCACGCTAAGTGAAAGTTCGGTCACGTCAGGGACTAAGGGACTCGAACCCCAGACCCCTGGATTGAGCCCGCGACCCTAGCACTGAGCCATCCACGCACCTTAAAATGTGTAGTTGTTCGCTTTTTGGAACATAACAAGGACCCCGAAAAATTTGTGTTTTTTTATCCAAAACGTAACCATTTATTTCATCGTTAATGCAAAAATATGGTTCAATAATGGTGTCTAGTGATGGAACAAAAAGCTTCGTTAAGATTTTTAATTTCTCTCATTATTGCGAAAGAGCCACATTACCGAAGGGCATATCACTCCCTTCTCGTGCATTACTCTTGATCGTAGATGTATGACAAAATTGTGAGCTGCTTGGAAAGGGTGTTACGCCCCTTGCACACTGCTATTTCCAGAAGACTAAACAATATCTCTAGAAATCTCTATGAGAAATGCAAAACTTGAAACTTTATATTTCTTTATCAATACATCAATATATTGTACATGTAACAAAACGACTGCATTTAGCAATGCAATAGAACTCACCGAACACTGCTTGTCGGAGTTTCGTTTCCAGTGTTTCTTGTTTTTCTTTGTGTTTGACGTTGGAACTAAACTCGCATTGCTTTGAACTTTGGGGTTTAAAGCCAAAATGCTCTGCAAAGAAACAAATTGTATGTAAAAGAGCTAAAAATCGGTAAGAATTGTGGACAAATGCTGCAAAGAGATCGTCAACAAGATAAAATCAATAAAAATCCACCTATATGGTTACGTTTCGTGCATGACTGAATCTCATGCCAGAAAAGCATTACAGAAAATTGCATTTGATTCATACGCTCCAATAGCAATCACCAAGATGAAATAAGGAAATAAGTTCCTTATTTTATCTTGCCATCACCCATGCACAGTTGATTTTCGTACAAAACGAATACATATGAAGAAAATGGCATTATCGATGCATCTGCATGCTGTTATCGACATCTCAGCCTTTTTCAAAATCCTCAACCTATGCATACGCTTGAATAATAACCTAAAATTCTCCGAAATATCTCAATTATTAAATAAAACCATGAGCTCGTTTCATGCTTCTAACTTTAACAAAAACCTTTTAACTTCTCGTTTTTTAACACGGCAACCCCGGCAACCAAGGCATCTAACAACCTTTTAGTGTAAACAGGTCCGATTCAATCTCCGTTTGATTTCATTACTGTATACATTTAACAGCTTTGTAGGGGTTCTCAAACCTAATTTTCTACCGTTCACTGCCACTTATCTGAATCTCAAACAAGCGAGCGGCTACAAAATACAGGGAACTTAGGCCTACTAAATGACAGGAGAATTTACTGTCACGAGGGAAATAATTCAGTCTTCTGACGAAAATATTTTGAAGAGACAACTTTGCGGAAAAACTTTCGGACACCTTTCAAGAATAAAAAACAAGAACGGAAGAATGTAAAATAGGTCTTCTAGCAAGTTCAAATGCTAAGGTTGTCAAGAGAATTTTTAAATCACCAAGCCCCCTGTATCTCGGAATACGTCTTCTTCCACCCGATCAATATTTATTTTTGAATTTTACACCAAAACTGGTGTAGAAAAAGTTGGTCTGGTAAAGTCCCTCTTCGGGTGGTAATGCTCCCCCTTGTCCCTCTGGACTAGTGTTACACTTCGACCAAACAAACTTCAATTTTCTGACCACCACTCAACTCTGATTGAACTAGTAAGCTGTTAAAATTAGCCATACATTTTCTTAGGAGGTTGATAGAGCGCCTAGAAAGTTTAAGGTGCTCAGTTTGTCAAGCGCCCGGTTTTTGTTCATCACAAGGCCTGCTACCCTATTACCCTGCTTAAAAGCGCATGCGCTTAAAACGATTCAGAGACAGGTGCAAGCGCCTAAAAATAAAAGAAAGTCTTTAGCAATAACATTGCAGGAGTAATGTTTTAACAATAGAAACTGCATATTTTAACAGTTATTCAAGTCATGCTTCCACAGGATCCGAATCATTTTCAATTATCATTAATTCTCCATTCAGCTGTCCTTCTTCAAGGTTGTTTTTGTCATCATGTCAGTTTATAACAAAGTTGATAATGCCAGAAAAGTAATTGAGGAAGCATGAAAACGTTGTCAATGAGAAAATAGATAGCGTTATCCTTTTTTATGATTCTCATAAAAACCGTAAGATTGAGATCCGGATATAAGCGCATGCGCCTTCAAATGAGGTGCGCCTATAAGTGGGGGTAATAGAGTATGCTTGGAAAAAGCATTCAAAATTTTACGGAATTTTTGTTAAAGCAAAATTGAATGAATATTTCCTGCTTTGATGATAAAGTTAGTAAAACTTTGGAACATATTTTCAAATACATTCTAAGATTGTCACTGAGTGTGTCCCTCTAGAGCAGGGGATCCATCCTAAAAAGTTAACAGGGAGATGTGCTGTAGGCAACTTTTAAAGCCCACACTCATGATCACTCCCATGACCACTCCTATTACCTCTACCATAACCACACCCAAGGTACTTTAATTTCTTTTAAAATTTGTTTTTATGAAATCATTCAAACTATTCACAACTGCAGAAAAACAAATAGAGATTGCTCCTTCAAAAAATCGATGGCTCAATATAAGGTTGCTAACATAGAACTTGTTCAACCAAACAGGTGATCCCTTGCTAGGGAGGGCACATATGACAAAAAGGAGGCACCTTTGTGAGCTGCAGATGGGTATTGTATCTCCGTTTCTGAAAAGTGGGGGATTTGCCCGTGTTCCTAGTTTCTATAGTGTTGTTTTTCACTTGGCTTTTAGACCCAGAATGTCTTCATCATCATCATCATCATCATTATCACCATCATCATCATCATCATCATCATCATCATCATCACCATCATCATCATCATCATCATCATCATCATCATCATCATCATCATCATCATCATCATCATAATCATTATAATCATCCTCATCAATCATCATCATCATCATCATCATCATCATCAGCATCATCATCATCATCATCATCATCATCATCATCATCATCATCATCATCATCATCAGGGGCAGATGCTCCCCTCAAAGGGCAAAAAATCTCCGTAAAACAGGGTGTTTTCTGGCATTCAAAAGGGTGTGGACCACAATTTTTCATTGCTCAACTCATCTTTGCCCCCACCCCCAAATCTTACCACCCTGGCTACTCTACTGATCTAACGGGCTTTTGTTGCCGGGTTTCAAAAGATTACACCTCGGTCTTTTTAAACCCAACTGTACTATTTCTTTCTTTCTTTCAAGGTATTTGCACTTTTCAATCCAAATTTTGAACTCTACAGGAAGCAAAATTTCCAGACCAACTTTTTCCGTTGTAGATGGAATTGATGCTTTTCAGATCTTATACTTTATTATACAAATCTTATTCAAACTAATACCTTTAATTATACTCTTTTTATAAATTTTCACCGCATAAAGATAAATATTAGTCACTCTTTTGAATGCTAAAATCATCTCTTTTGACCAGGGACAGATATAGCAGGGGTTGTAGGAGGTGTGACACCCCCTAATCTTTCTGTGTCTTTCGGTAAATTTTGTTTCATTCGGTAAAAATCATTTGTTGGTAGTCAATAGTAACAAAGTAACGCCAAGACTTTACTTTATTTTTTATCAGTATTATCTTCTTATCAGTAGCGTAGCACGGGGGGATATTCTCAAATGTGTTTTAAGCTAATCTCAAAGGCATCGTCAAAAGAAATTTCTTCTCTCTTCGCTTGCAGGAGACACTCCTCTATATCTCCATACAGTGTTAAACAATTTTCCCTTGTTTTGGGGTTTGTATAAAGAAGTCCTTCATCTTCTTGAGCCATTCCCGATAAAATAGAAACTAAAATGCTAAAGCAGTCCAATCATTAAAATAACTGGATCCTGAAATGCTTGTCGTGGACTTTGCTCCAAGGAAAACAAACTTGGTTTAAAACTTTTGAATACTGTTAATTTTTTAGTTATTTGATTATATCTTTGGAAAATCACTTTTTTCACCTAGAATACCTTACACAATTCCGGATATATATGTTAGTGAAATTGTGAAGGAAATAGACATTTGTATAACATGGTCGCCACCTATGATGTTGACTAGAGGGAAATTTCAATGTAAAAATGCCATGGCATTTTCAAACACATTTACAAAATGGGTGTCTTCCCAAATTCTTAGGGGTGTGATCGGCAAAAATATCTTCCTCTTTGGCCTACCAATCTTCCAAACCTGGCTACAACACAGTTAAAAACCTAATTTTAAAAAAGCGTTTCCATCATTTACCAGTGACCTGAAGGGTGTGGCATCAAAATTAGTGTCTAACACCCCCCCCCCCAATCATTGTTGCCTAAATCCGTCCCTGCTTTTGACCCTACCTATGCATAAACTGTTCTGCTTGAAAAAATTGCCAGGGGGTGAAGCCAGTTTCCGAACAGGTGCGTTAACTCGAGATTGGATAGATTTTTTGATCTTGTTTCCATGTACCGCATTGACCACAGTCGCGAATTTCAGACGATCTAATCTTGTTCTATCTGGTTCAACAGTTATCGAACTCGTGTTTAATCGTCTGAAAATTGATTGTAAGCTCGTCGTCTGAAATTCTGAACCTGAGGAGAGAATCTGGAGAATAACTAGACAGCTCTTTGAAAAAACTCGTCAGTGTTTCGACGGGTGCGGAAGACTCTGAGTCGGACTCGGACATTTTCATTACACAGAGCAGTACCAAACCTGTAGAAAAGACAGACAGCGACTGCCAGATGACGTCAATTCAAAAGCGAATAACATCAGTCACTGAGAAGGAGGACTTGAATTTGATAGAGGGAATAAAAAACATGGTTATGGCAAATGGGGCAAAATACTCTCGGACCAGAGCTTGTGCTTCGCAGAGGGAAGAACTCGTAACTCTTTGTTAAGACGCTTTAGAAGTAATCAGTTTCGTTGCATGTATGAAAAATTGCGTGGAAAGGTTGTTTCCTAGAATAACAACCAATAAACAATGGGAGCATTAATTGAATTCGATTACTTCTTTGTATTTCATTTACATACATGTACCTCTTTAATCTCACAATTATAATTGGGCTGGACTTCTCTCTAAAGCTCTTTAAAACTAAAAAGGATTTGGGCTTCCAATCTCAGTTTCATGTACCCTTGAATCTATTGAAAAGTATTGAAAACTATTGGGCTGGGCTTCTCTCTAAAATTTTCGTTCGAAACCTGGGCTTTCATTCTCGAAATGATTTGAGCTTCTAATCTCGGTTTCATGTACCCTTGAATCTATTGAAAAGAATTGAAAACTATTGGGCTGGGCTTCTTTCTAAAACTTTCGTTCAAAACCTGGGCTTTCATCCTCAAAATGATTTAGGCTTCTAATCTCGGTTTCATGTACCCTTGAATCTATTGAAAAGTATTGAAAACTATTGGGCTGGGTTTCTCTCTAAACTTTCATTCAAAACCTGGGCTTTCATCCTCGAAATGATTTAGGCTTCTAACCTCTGTTTGTTGGAATGTAGTCCTAACAGTATAATTCCTTAAAGACTTTATTTCGATGTTAAAGGCAGGAAGTGTGCAAAATGTATTGACAGAAGCCAAGCCCTGATGTCTATATTATCTTTGTTATTCTTGTGTCCATGAAAACGAGATTAGAAGCCCATTATATGGATAAGAGATATGAAGCCCATCATATCCATGCAAACTTTTGGACAGAAGCCTAGCCCAAATATATCCATACTATCTACATTATTCTTGTGTCCATGGTAACGAGCTCTATTGGTAACGGCTGCATTTTATAGCGAAAGGTCAATGACGTTAAACACCCATATGTTATTTATTGCTTAAATATGTTCTTATGGTGAGAAACAACGGTAATAAAACACAAATGGATAGAATCCCAGTCATAGTTTTGCTTTAGGAAGTAACATTTTTATACTAAATACAGAAGTCCATTAAGGAAAAACAACAATAACGACAACATTTTGTGTAACGTTTTCATTTAACCTTAAGCTCCTGGGCATATCGATAATCCTCTACAGTATAGGTTACGGTACTTTCTTACGGATCTGGAGATTTTGTTAATGCAACGATATGATATCTATCATTAGACATCATTTTGGCCAGCGGTCTCGAATTAATCATACAAATAATTATTGGTATTTGTATTTAATGATCTTTTGTTGATGATCTGTATTTAATGCTAAATACTACTCCATTCTAAATATCTCTAAGATGGAATAGTTCAGTTTTCCTGACTTTTCACGGCTTATATCGAAAACAATATGCCGCTCGCCCTTCCATGCATATGCAATATCCCGCAAGGATGTGGATGTGAAATACAAGGCGTTCTTCGTGGCCAGTTTATATTTCGCCAGAAATGTCTTTCCTGTTATTTCCATTCTCGTCCACCAAGAATGTAATTTTCCTTGGCCCCTGTGTTCTTATTAGGCGAAGAACAGCTTCCTGCCATGGTCGCATCTTCGCACTTTGAAATTTTTCGAGCATTTGTTGTCCGACTATTCGATTTGTTGTCTTTTAATGCTTCTATCCACAGTGGATTGACTGTGAAGCCAGGCTTCTCCGAACTCCTCCAACATGGCATTTTCTGTTGCCTCATGCATATGTCTGTCCCGCAAAAACTCTAGTTGGCTTCTTTCTTTTCCTTTAAATGTACTTTGACCAATCTCAAAAAATTGTGCCCACACTTGACTTGAGCCTTATGTTGCCTTGAGGATCCTTTGGCTATGGTGATTTCCAGTCTTTCGGGCCTTCCTTCTATGTTGAGGACAGCTTCAACTTGATTTGCCCTCTTCCGGCATTTGAAGATAATGTATCCCCTCAAAAGATTTTCATGCACTTCGCTGTTGACTTTTGCACCAATTAGATATTCGAAGTCTTCACTACGCTGCTCCAATAACTCCGTAACATTTTCTGGATAACACTTGTAAACAAATGTCCAGCATTTCGCTTTCGCTCCTCTTACTCTTACTGCCATCGTACTCTTACTCTCCTCCAACAAACTGGCCGAGTTTCTGCCTGACATTTATAAGAACCAATCATTATCATCATCAACATCATCAACAGCATCATCATCAATCATCATCATCATCAACATTATCAGCATCATCATCATCAACATCAACAGCATCATATCATCATCATCATCATCAACATCATCAACAGCATCATCATCATCATAATCATATCATCATCATCATCATCATCATCATCATCATCATCATCATCATCATCATCATCATCAACATCATCAACAGCATCATCATCAATCATCATCATCATCAACATCATCATCAACATCAACATCATCATCATCATCATCATCATCATCATCATCATCATCATCATCATCATCATCATATCATCATCATCAACATTATCAGCATCATCATCATCAACATCAACAGCATCATATCATCATCATCATCATCAACATCATCAACAGCATCATCATCATCATAATCATATCATCATCATCATCATCATCATCATCATCATCATCATCATCATCATCATCATCATCATCATCATCATCATCATCAGCATCAACAGCATCATCAGCATCAGCATCATCAGCATCAGCATCATCATCATATCATCATCATCAACATTATCAACATCATCATCATCATCATCATCATCATCATCAACATCATCATCAACATCAACATCATCATCATCATATATACAATCACTTGCAGTGTTCAATTTGCGAATCGTCATCGTTCGATGCCGTTTGAGGCGAGACTAACTAAATACCAAACCGAAAAATTTTTGTCGGTTAATTCAATTCAATTATCGAAATGCAAGAGACAAGCACAATTTGTACATCAGTGAGAGAAAAGTTCATTTGCCATCTGTAACAAGGTTTTCATTTATAGTATCAAAACTTTTTGAAGAACAGATTTGATGGCAAAGAATTTGATGGCCTGAATGCAGTTAAGAACTTTCTATAAGTAAACAAGACTCAAAAAAAGCTTCACCCATGTTTTGTCCCAGAGATCGGAGCAATCCCTAATTCTGTCGATGCAGAGAAGCTGATTCCCACCTACAACAAGATAGAAGCAGGTGGGGAAGGCAGCATAGCTCCAGAAAACTTATCAAATAGATAAATATTGCAATTATTATGCTTGATCTCTCAAGTTTCGAGTTCCGAGAAAAGCTGCAAAGATATGGTTCCAAAAAACCAAAAAATACCAAAGTATGGGAAGCAAGGCTGATTTAAGGGAGTTTTTGAAGGTGAAAGGAAAAACATTAACTTTGACAGAGATCCGAACAAACCATGTAAAAGAGTTTCTTTTTGATAACTTTTTGCTCACATATTAAGACATCGCTATATGTAGCTAATCTTCTTAATTAACCCAATCCATATAATGAAAAGAATCACCTTTTGCTACTTATACTTCATTCATTTAGGAATTTGCCCAATTAGGACATGCTATTTGCACTATGATGGCAGTTTCTATATTTGCCACCCCCATGATGCCAATCCCAGCAAAGTACCCCACCCAATTTTTTATAAAAAATGTGGATCTGTAAAAATTTCTTATTCTAGGCAATGCTCTCTTTGCTTGCAGGAGACTTTCCTCTATATCTCCACACAGTGTTCAACAATTTTTCCTTGTTTTGGGGTTTGTATAGAAAAGTCCTTTATGTTCTTGAGACATTCCTGATAAAATAAAGCAGTACAATCTTTAAAAAAAACTGGATCCTGAAATGCTTGTCATGGACTTTGCTCCAAGGAAAACGAACTTGGTTTAAAACTTTTGAATACTGTTAATCTTTTAGTTATTTGATTATAACTTTGGAAAATCACTTTTTTCACCAAGAATACCTTACACAATTCAGGATATATATGTTAGTGGAATTGTGAAGGAAATAGACATTCGTAGAATATGGTCAGCCACCTATGATGTTGACTAGAGGGAAATTTCAATGTAAAAATGCCATGGCTTTTTCAAACACATTTACAAAATGGGTGTCTTCCCAAATTCTTAGGAGTGTGATCAGCAAAAATATCTTCCTCTTTGGCCTACCAATCTTCCAAACCTGGCTACAACACTGTTAAAAACCTAATTTTAAAAAAGCGTTTCCATCATTTACCAGTGACCTGAAGGGTGTGGCATCAAAATTAGTGTCTAACACCCCCCCCCCCAATCATTGTTGCCTAAATCCGTCCCTGCTTTTGACCCTACCTATGCATAAACTGTTCTGCTTGAAAAAATTGCCAGGGGGTGAAGCCAGTTTCCGAACAGGTGCGTTAACTCTAGATTGGATAGATTTTTTGATCTTGTTTCCACATACCGCATTGACCACAGTCGCGAATTTCAGACGATCTAATCTTGTTCTACATGGTTATTCTTGACAACAACTATCAAGCTCGTGTTTTATCGTTGTTAGCTCATCGTCTTGATTATGCAAGAGTACAAAAAAGAACATGGGCGCATCCCGATTAGAGAGCTTCTGTTTACAAATAATTTGAGACAAGCAATCAAACCCCACAAAAAATATACGAAGCTTTTAATTGTACAATTGTCAAGGTTACTGAAGCTTTTGAGTTAAAATTACACACAAACAAACAGAATCTCCCAAGATGTAGCTTGGAGAGTAAGTACCGTGTTTCATTCAATTATTTACTCATTGATTCTGGTTCAATCTAGGACTTTGACTAAAAAGTAAACACTGGCTTGGCTTTAAATCTGCGCCGCTCAACTTAAACCGCAAACAGCATCAGTCATATAACCACTCCAGTTAACAGCTGTTTCTATTTTCCATTTTCAGTTATTTGAAACTTGGTTGCCAGTTTAGCGACCAGAACCGCATCAGTGCGATGCCTATTACGGGCTTTACTGACTATTGAGATAGATAGGCCATACCTCACGAAAGTACTTGTGGTGTGCTTACACACTGCTGTCACAGAAATTCTGAAAACTGTAGAGAAATTTCTGATAGAGATATGGACTTTTCCTTTTCAACGAATGCAATGTTTTCATAGTTTTAATCAAAGCTTTTATCAAGTATCGCTTACCTCTATTTCCACGCTATGCTTTGAAAGCATCATTTCCGCTGTGTCTTGTCTTCATTCAACTCCACGTTGCATCCCCTCCTCTCACTCAGTAAACGTTCGGCTCTTCTCTCTCTGGTTTCTCTCTACTGCGCAGGCGAATCTTACCTACTTCCACCAGTGACAGCGACTTCCATACGCTTGTCAGCGTCGACTCTCCCCACGTGCACATATGGTTCTTAGAACAATTTTCAGGGAAAGTCCATTTTAAAACGCCGTATAGATCAAGGACCAAAAAATTTATTCAATTATAAAAAGCAATGCTGTTGTAAGATATTACATCGACGTAAAAAATCTGTTACAGTTTCGGGTTCTTTCATTGGCGGCTCCTGCCTGGGATAAGTGGGGGGGACAAAAGGTGTGTCAGGGACAACGCCCTTTTGGACCACGCCCTTTTCCCATGTTTGAAACTTTTTCTTCCGGAGGAAACGCCTGTTGTCTCCAAAGAAATGTCATTTACATGTGACGATCTAGATAACGTACATACCCCCCCCCCCTCTGTAGTTTTCTCATCAGGTTTGCAAGAATCTCAAGGACCAACTTTCTGGAAAAGTGGGGGGACTAGTCCCCCCATTCCCCCCCCCCCTCCGTGGTTCCGCCACTGGGTTCTTTAGCTTAATATCTTTTTTCATAACTACTTCTTGCATTTGCATGAAAGGTCGATGGTGATTGATGTTCAAAGCTAAAAAAAGAAATTTAATTGTTTCGCTGCAAAAGAATATAAATCCCTACATTTTCAAGAAAACTACATACCTACTATTCTTGATCCCCAAAGTAGGTAGAAATCCCTACGTGTTGCAGACCTATTGACAAACTAAAACATGGAACTTGGAAAGCTACGGACGACTCATTCTTTACACGATAAAGAGGTGTATGTGATTTCATGAAAGCCTTCTTTCTATTTCAAAATAAACTTTTGAACTTGATGTATATGCTTTTAAATTTTTACCTCTATACTTGACGAGGTCCTAGAGTTATGCCAGTTTTTGCATTTTGGTAAGCTGTTATGGGGGCTTGATTGAGATACAACAGAAAAAGCTTAAAAGAAACGAAACAGTGACGAAGAGACCGCCAAAGACAATGAGCATCTGCACACTATTCATATAAAACTCCTCCCCCTTTTTAAATAAGCCTCCACCTAAAATTCGAGTCAAGTTGATACTGACGGAATGAAAATTGTTTATTTGGATCTCTTTTATCCATATATTACCCATATATTATGTTTATTGGGGTCTCGTATTCAATGGCGCGCTTGCAGGGGGGCAAGGGGCCAATTGCTCCCACTGCCGATCAAATACCAGGGGCGCCAATATGAAGCCGAATGTTAAACAATAGATTTTCCTGTTGCGTGTCAGTGGTGTTCCTCTTGTTAATCTGTAATCCGTTGCCATGCCATTTCTCATTAGTTGCCATCACTTGTTGTCAGCGTCCTTTTGTCTCTTGGTCATGTGTTATTCATTATATTGCCATGCTGTTTTATATTGAGTCAGTCGTTAGTTAAAGCCGTCAAGGAAAGTCGTTATATTGAATCGTAGTGTAAAGCCGAGAAGTAGAGTCGTGTCGAAGCCGTTCCGTTTTATGAAGTTGCAGTTAACCGTCAAATTCAGTACAGTGTACCCGCCGAACATTATTGCCGCCGACGAATATTGCTTGTAGTATTAAATTGCCGAACTATTGCTTATGGTTTATATCGCCGATTATTCATATATTCTGGTTCTTGTTGGAATCAACTGTTGTTTCCTTTGTACTGGACTAACCAGGGCAACTTTAAAATAGTGTTGTTTTGCCGAAGGCGCGCTAGCCAAATAACTGGCAAACGATGACAATTATATAAAAGAACCCAACAGTACTGTTGTGGAATTCCACAGTGCATTTTTTATTGTTTAGCTGTTTATTTGTTTTGGTATTTAAGCTTATATTCTTATAATTAACCGTGTGCATTAATACGTAGCAACAGATGTATTCATTTGAGCATAATTATACTAATCTTTTCTTTTGCGTGTATCAATAATAACTAAACCCATAGGACTAATCACGAAATAATTTTGGTTGAGTTGTTGGTTATGTTAATGGAGAAATAGATTCGCTTAGAGGTTATATATTGAAATGAAGAATTGGAAACCTCGCTAAACTTGTATTTTTTGAAATCTACTCTGTCAAAAGAACCAGCAGGAACACGAGAAGTTCTAACAAGTACTAAAGGCGGACACTGTATAACAATCCACGATAAATCGCTTTGATGAGAACAAGAATCACCTTGCAGCATACCACCTCTTCTTTCTTACTTACTTTGATGCGCTAAACAATGATCGTCAAACACCATCTGAAGATCTCAAGCTAAATCTAAATGATTTTTGCACCGAGGAAGGGGTGCAGGGTGTTTTTGAGGAACCCGCCGATAATTTTGGGCTTGGTGAGTAAATGTTTGGACTAGGCACCATATCATAAAATTATTGGGAGAGTGCAAAGAGTTTTGATTTACTGGAATGCTGTGAAGGAAAAGCCGAGAGATTATGTCCCTATCTGAAGATAAGCAATAATTTGATTAATTACAATCAAATGATTCAAACCATTAGTTGATTAAAACCATCAAATAGCTTTCAGTCTGTCGATATTCATTTTATAAAAAGCTCGCGTTATTAATAATTGCTTCAAAAAATGCATTTTTCAGCCTACTGGAAGCTTCAAAATTCAAAAGTTTCCTTCTTCTTCAGCAGCAACCATGGTGCAGCCTCGGACAGTGTACAGTGACCGAGCCACGGGGGAGAATAGGGGGGACTAGCCCCCCCCCCCAATTTTTCAGAAAGTCGGTCCTTTAGATTCTTGCAAACCTGATGAGGAAACGGGGGATATGTACGTTATCTAGATCTTCACATTTAAATGACATTTCTTGGGAGATAAGAGTTGTATCCTCCGGAAGAAAATGTTTCAATCAGGAGAAAAGGGCGTGGTCCAAAAGGGGGTGGTCCCTGACACACCTTCTGCCCCACCCCCATTTATCCCAGGCTGGAGCCGCCACTGACAGTGTAGTTCTATCCTTGGCTTGTTCCGGTATATAGATCTAAAGGGTTGGAAGGTCTGATATTATTAAGTAAATAGATGTTATAAATCAACACAATGTATTTAGCGTGAGTCTGGTACCCAGGGTAACGATACACCTGCTACAATGATACTCAAAAATACTGTTAGGATTTACAAAGAATAGCATACTATATTTGAAAATTCTCTTTCATGTCCTGACAGTGATTGACTACCCTCTCTCCCCTCATTTGAAGGTCTTCCGGTACGCCACAGATAGATAGATATAGATCGGCGTGCTTCCGAGCTCTTGTACTTTTTTGCACAATTCAATGACTTTGAAGGAAAATTTGAATATAGCTTAATGAGGGGTCGCCATTCCGACCCTTTGTCCCCCCCCCCCCTGCGATCTCATCCCCAGCACGCCTCTTCAGATGGTGCCTTGCGCTAAAAAAAATTCGCTGCTAAGAAAACATGCTGAAACAGGTCTGGGGATTTGCCACCCCTACTCCACAGGCCTGTGTAACGACACAGGGTTCCCTTACGGACAGTATCACGTGACAATTGCACCATTGCGCTGTGATTGCATCAGCGTCTGTAAATATGTTTTTTGTATTACGTAATTATTATTTTAAGGTTTGCTTAGGTTATATAAAGGGTTGTTTCTTAAGTTAGGAGTAGTCTTGTCGAAAGTTTTGTCGTGCCTGTGGAAGCCGTGTCGTTATTTGTCGAACTTGTTGTTAGCCGTTAGTCGTATCATTGCCATAAAAAGAAGAATTTTGATCTTATCTGCCGTTGCCGTATTTTTTGAGAATTTCTGCTTACAAAGAACTCACGTTTGTAAAACCCCCATTTTAAGAGGTTTTACATTGGTTACCCCGTGTGAGGACAGCCGAGCCGAAGGAAAAGAAGATGAGCACTCATCGATACCTGCGAACCACAGACGACCAGCCGATTTGCAATTACTGCAAAAGAGTAGGGCACGTGGTCAAATATTGCAGAAGACGCCCGTTGAAACAGCCATTGCAAGAAAAAGCCCCTGTGCCTGTGGATGCAAAAATGAACCCAGTTTTTGAAGCAGAAATTCAGACGAGAACGACATACCAACCCACCACTGACCCCTTCGTTGCTCTGTGCAAGTTGTTCCGCCAGTTAGAAGACCTAACAAAGGAGCTTGCAATTTTGGTCAAAGGTCAGTTGGGAAAGACAATACAAAGTGATGAAGCGGAAATATTCCAAACCCCGCTCTCAGCAGTTTTCAAACATCTGACGTCAGTGGCACATGAATTTCTCACAAAACCAGGCCAGTGTGATGCCAAGCCATGGAAGTTGTCGTTTGATAGAAAAGACAAGATGCAAGGATTGGTTCAAGCCAGGAGGCTTGATTTCAAAGGGGGGAGCTATGTAACGACACAGGGTTCCCTTACGGACAGTATCACGTGACAATTGCACCATTGCGCTGTGATTGCATCAGCGTCTGTAAATATGTTTTTTGTATTACGTAATTATTATTTTAAGGTTTGCTTAGGTTATATAAAGGGTTGTTTCTTAAGTTAGGAGTAGTCTTGTCGAAAGTTTTGTCGTGCCTGTGGAAGCCGTGTCGTTATTTGTCGAACTTGTTGTTAGCCGTTAGTCGTATCATTGCCATAAAAAGAAGAATTTTGATCTTATCTGCCGTTGCCGTATTTTTTGAGAATTTCTGCTTACAAAGAACTCACGTTTGTAAAACCCCCATTTTAAGAGGTTTTACACCTGGCTACGGGCTTGGGATCTGGGGCTATTTCCGAAAATCATTTTGTTCTTGACCTTCAAATTCCTTTTGTAACATTTTTGCAGTTTCCAACTGTTTCTCGCGACGCTCTAAACTCTTTCCTCCTTACAGAAACATCCTAACCCAATGGATAACTAATAGCAAGGTATGAATCTCCAATTTCATTTCATTTCATTTTGTCATATTTCATATGACAATTGTCATATACACAGAAACCCTATCAGCTACTAGGTTAAAAAAGAAAAAGTAAAGACCAATTTATATATATCCTAGGGATCGTGCTTCGGGAAAGGATGCTAATTTTGCAGGAATTCCTTTAATTTCCTTTGGAACGTGATA